CTGCTCTCTTAAAAATCATTAAAAATCATAAATGATTTAATAACTGCAAAAACCAATGGACAATATTCTGTACTTCTACTTCTGGACCTCTCATTTGCCTTTGATATAGTTGACCACCCCCTCCTCCTCAAAAAACTTTACTTTGCCGGTATCTGTGATTGTGCTCTTCATTGGTTCTCATCCTACCTATCCCACCGCACCTTTAGTACCACTTGCAATTCTACTTTCTCCTCTCCCTTTCTCCGTTGGAATCCCCCAGGGTTCTGTTCTTGGACCTCTCCTATTTTTGATTTAAACCTCCTCCCTGCATCAGATGATAGCCTCCCATGGCTTTCAATGTCATTTCTACTCGGACAACATTCAGGTCCATCTCTCTACCCCTCAGCTCACATCAGTCTCCTTTCACATCACTAACTTACTGACCAACATATCGGTCTGGATGTCACACCACTTCCTCAAACTCAATCTATCCAGAACAGAGTTCCTAATATTTCCTCCTCCATGTGCCCCTTCCCCTGACTTCTCTGTCAAGATAAATTATACAACCATCAATCTGTCCATGTATGCTAGGGTGCTCGGTGTAATCCTGATCTGGCCTCACAAACAATCACTTTCCAAAGCTTGCTGTCTCAACCTCCTCAACATCTCCAAAATACGTCCCTTCCTAACCAATGACACCACAAAGCTCCTAATTCACTCTCAGGTTATCTCTCGCCTTGACTACTGCAACTCCCTCCTCATTGACCTACCTTTACATAGGCTACCCCCCCCCCCCTCCAGTCCATCATGAATACTGCTGTCAGGCTCATCCACCTTACCAAGTGGTCAGCATCTGCCACCCCTCTCTGCCAATCCCTACACTGGCTGCCACTCACCCGACAAATTAAATTCAAAATACGAACTTACAAAGCCATCCACAACTCAACCCCCAGCTACATCACTAACCTGGTCTCAAAATACCAAACAAATCATACTCTTCATTCCTCCCAAGACCTCTTGCTTTCTAGTTGTCACCTCCTCCCATGCTCGCCTGCAGGACTTCTCCTGAGCCTCTCCCAACCTATGGAATTCTCTACCCCAATCTGTTGGACTATCTCCTACTCTGTCCATTTTTAGGCGGTCCCTGAAAACTTCTCTTCAGAGAAGCATATTCTGCCTCCACCCAAGGACTGTACATGTATCTACTCCATTAGCTCATCCCCCCCAGTTATTGCCTTTTGTATCACTTCACCCTCTCCTTGTAGGCTGTAAGCTCTAACAAGCAGGGCCCTCAGATTCCTCCTGTATTCAATTGTACTGTAACTGTGCTGTTTGACCTCTTGTTGTAAAGTGCTGGACAAACTGTTGGTGCTATAGAAATACTGTAGAGTAATAATAATAGCTATAAAGTGAGTGGGAGCCCCAAGTATTGGCCACGAAGAGCCCAACCAAAAGATCTTACCAATAGAGTCCATGAGATTTAGGAAACTGGCAGATGGTTTAACGCTCTACCAGAAATATCAAGACTGGAATAACAGTTTGGGTAGACCCACCCAATATATACATGTCTAAAAGCTACCAGTGCTGTAGTGAAAAACATAGAAAACAATTTCATAAACATTCAATGCACCCATCTAATATTGTAGTTGCAGCAGGCCAAACCAACTTTTTGCATTCATCTATACAGTTTCTAAAAGCACAGGAAATAGGTTGTATTAAAAGATAATACTGATGAGTTTAAACATCCGTTGATAGTAGTGAAAATGTTTTCACGTTTGTTTTCTGAGTAATCATAAGTAATGAAAAGTTGTAAGAGAATAAATCAGTCTTGTGTGCGGTAAACATAAATTATAGTACTGTATAACATTATCACAGCCTCTCTCAACCTTTCAATAGACACCTAGGGGGAGATTTACCAAAACTGGTGCACATAGAATCTGGTGCAGCTGTGCATAGTAACCAATAAACGTCTAGATTTTAAGGACCGTTCACACCGAATCTGACTTAGAAGACAAGTGAAGTCGCATGATTTCAAATAGTGGCAGTGGAGTACAGGGAAGACATCTAGGGTCTAATAGACCCCGGATGTCTCCTAAAGATTACCTGTCACCCATATGCTATCACATAGCAGGATATTGGTCCCCTATGTAAGAGCAATAAAGTCATGTAAAAAAATGTTTTACACATTTAACCGATTCCCAACCGCCCTATAGCAGAACTACTGCTACAGAGTGGCAGAGCTGTGCAAAATTACGTATATATACACTTGATTTTGTATTTCTGGGTAGGGGCACACTTGCCGCCCTACCCGCATTGCTGTTGGTGGCTACAGCTGTGGATCACCGAGTCCCGGCCGGAGATTACCCCCCCCCCCCGGCACTTGCCGAGGACCACTGACAGAGGAGAGGTCTGTATGTAAACAATACAGATCTCTCCCATATTAGCACTAGCATGCTGCTTTGCATTGCTCTGCATGGCAGAGCAATGCAAAGCAGCGTGCTTACATAGTAAAGCACACAGAAAACACAGTAAAACACACACAGCACACAGTTAACCCTGTGATCACCCAAAATGTTAACCCCTTCCTGCCCAGTGTCATTAGTACAGTGTCAGTGCTTTTTATTAGCACTGATCACTGTATTAGTGTCACTGGTGATGTCAGTGGCAGTTACTCAGTTCCCCCCAGTGTCAGAATGTCCGCCACAGTCCCTCTATAAGTCGCTGATCGCCGCTATTACTAGTGTAAAAAAAAAAAATCCAGTATCTATACCGCCATTTGTAAATGCTATAACTTCCACGTAAACCAATTAATTTACACGTATTGTGATTTTTTTTTTTTTTTTTTAGCAAAGACAGAATACATTTTGGCCTCTATTTATGATGAAATTTGATCTTTAAACATTTGTCACTGGATATGTTTAATAGCAAAAAGTCCAAAATATTGTTTTTTTTTTCAAAATGATCAGTCTTTTTTGTTTATAGCACAAAAAAAACAAAAAAAAATGCAGAGGTGATTAAATACCACCAAAAGAAAACTCCATTTGTGGGGACATAAATTTAAATTTGGATGCAGCATTGCATGACCACGCAATTGTCAGTTAAAGTACCGCAGCACTGTATCGCAAAAAATGGCCTGGTCGGGAAGGGGGGTAAATCCTCTGGAGGGCAAGTGGTTAAAGAGACCCATAAAAAATGAAAAAAAAAACAACAAAAACCTTTTTACAGTGGAGGGTGTCAGAAAATGCACCTTTTTCTATGTAGACAAAAATCCATGCACCAGCCTGCCTGCGGGAAAAAATTTTCTGCTAAAGACAAGACCTTACATTTTCATAATTCTAGCCCTGCAGATTTAAAAGCTAAAAAACCCCAGAGAAATCCATCAACCATAAAAGGTTTTCTGATCCATCTCCTATTCCAAAAAAAACCCCCCAAATTTTGTCTTTGTTTATAAGGAAACGCTCTTTTTAACGTTAATACCAACATCATAGCATTTACATCATTTGCAACACAGCCAATTTCTAATATCAAGCAAACAAGCCGTTCTGCTGCCATGCAGGAATTCCTGAAACTTCAGGAACTAAACAGGCTGGTTAATTTACTGCGGCTATAAAAATTCTTTATAAAAACAGGCATTGCAGAATTAAAATGTTAATGTACTAATAATGCAACTTTCTGTTCAGGCATTAGACAATATTCTTATGACAGCCGGATTCTCCCCTTCATTCTATAGGTCGTTCTAATATTCTCTAGACCCAATTATTTAAAGTAGCAAAGTGAATAGACACCATGTTGCTTTCTTGGACCTCTAACTACATCTGAGTTCTTTTACAGCATGTATGAGATCAGCTGAAATGTGAAATATCAAAAAATATCTCTGTTTAGCCAAAGTAAGGCTAACAACAGATGGAATTAAGACCATTAGAAGGTCAGCATCGTAAAATCTGAAAATTATTCTTTTTAATAACTAAAAAGGCAAAAGTTATTTTTATAGTTTTGGATAGAGTGGAGATGAATTAGAACCCCTGTCACGTTCTTTATACTTCCTGTTTACAATATCACAGAAAGTTCAAGAGAATCCCAAATTTTGGGTTGTCACCACAACACGGAGAGGGGAAATATTCCAATGGGGGCACTAGTTCTGGTGACAACCCGGGATTCCCATACTTTGGTGAGATTTCCTCTCACTTTCTGCTTTGGGACAGGAAGTGAAAGGACAATGATGGCAAAAGTAAACCTGACACGTGTTATAACCCTCCATTACGCTATCCAAAATGAAAAACAAAATTGCCTTTAGCCTTACTTTAATTTAAGCTTCAAATTATTTTCAGATCGATAAAGGTGGAAGATGCATTTACAAGGTGGACTGAACAGAAGAGACAAGAAAAAACATTTTGAAATATGGAACCTATGTTGAGGAAAAACAAAAAAGGGCATAACAAGAAGATGAAAAATAGTGGACTGTTTACCAACAATTACAGCTCCACTTCTGCTATAGTTATGCATAGCGGCCTGGCTAAACCTGGTGCATAGAGCAATTAGTCCCTCTCTATCGAATCCTCTTCATGCTGTGCTGTTCTGCAACATACTACTTTCATTTAAAGGGTCAGTTCACCCAAAAGTGATGTTCATGGTATAGGTGAAGCCTGGAGGGGTTCGCCAGTCTCCTGGCTTCTCATATTACCAACAGTGAGCTCCCCTTGCCGTAATCCTAGACTCCGCCGTAATCCTAGACCTGAGAGTTTTGTGTGTCCCTCCTGCCTTTGAGTGTTCCAGCTCCTCCACCAATATTCTCTATATTATAAAATATATTTTAAACATTCTTCAGTGATGGTGGGAGCCTCTCATAAAGGCCACAGCAGGTATGCAGAACAGGGAACTCATTAAGATATATCAGTTTTTGAGTGAACTGACCCTTTAAAATGTAAAACAACTCAGATGTTCTTTAAAACAACTTGCAGCAATCAAAGCAGTGCTTCATAGATGAAAACAAAATTTAAAATACAAAGTCAAAGCGGACTTACATTGCAGCTTTCATCGTTGTCTGGCCGGTGGGGAATGATAAAAGACATGACGGATAATCTGCCATCACAGTTGTCAGCTGGCTGGTTATAATCTAAGCAGCTGGTGATTATACAGAAGTAGTGTGTTGGGACTGGTATAGATCCATCTACAAAACTAGGGAAAAGGAACAGCGAGTTAGTAATGGCTTGTTCCTACCAGGTCAGGTAATGCAGGGTATATTAAAATACCATGCAATGTTCTAACACCCCAGCAACCCACGCAATAATCCACCAACCAACCCACGCAACACTCCATCCAACCTACCCACGTAACACTCCATCCAACCTACCCACGTAACACTCCATCCAACCTACCCACGCACGCAACACTCCATCCAACCTACCCACGCAACACTCCATCCAACCTACCCACGCAACACTCCATCCAACCTACCCACGCAACACTCCATCCAACCTACCCACGCAACACTCCATCCAACCTACCCACGCAACACTCCATCCAACCTACCCACGCAACACTCCATCCAACCTACCCACGCAACACTCCATCCAACCTACCCACGCAACACTCCATCCAACCTACCCACGCAACACTCCATCCAACCTACCCACGCAACACTCCATCCAACCTACCCACGCAACACTCCATCCAACCTACCCACGCAACACTCCATCCAACCTACCCACGTAACACTCCATCCAACCTACCCACATAACACTCCATCCAACCTACCCAACGTAACACTCCATCCAACCTACCAATGCAACAATCCAACCTACCCATGCAACAATCCATCCAACCCACGCAACACTCCATCCCATGTAATACTCTACAACTAATACATTTTGCAAATTGGCTTGATCTATAGAAAGGACATCAGAGTGTGAAGGTGGTAAATATGATCCTTGTTTTTTCTTTTCAATTTATGTAACTACCAATCTCTTACTTTTGTAAGATTTATCACTATTATAGTATCATTACATACACTCATAGGGTTAATAGTACCATGCCACCAATTAAAGCCTATGTTTGGTCTGTTAAAAAAAAAAAAAATACAATTTGCTAGAAATAAAAACTTGCCCTACATGGTTTAACCCCTTACCCTTTTTTTTGATAGTGTGGGGAAGATTTAAACTGTCACCTAAGGCCTGTGGCAATTTTTCCCCATTTCCTGTCCTCGTCACTTTATTGGCAACCAGACAAGAAGAGTGTGTCCCATGTGGACACAAAGAGAAATAAAAGCTGAGGGAAGTTCCTGACTTGGACATTTTCCATTACTTCCTAATTTGGTGACACAGCTGACACTAGGACAGGAAGTGAGAGGAAATGTTTTAAAAACGGCCTCAGAAAACACCAACAATAACAGCTTCTCACCTTACCCCACTTAATCAAAACAAGGGAAAAAACATTTTGTCTGATAAAATGTAAACTATTCTGGTGTTTTTGCATTTGACAGCTGCCCATTGGCAGACCTCTATTTGTTCCCAGAGGTTTCCTTAAAAAAAAAAAAAAAAAAAAAAAAAAAATCAGCCAATTTATAATACGTACGTTTTGATTTTGTCAGAGGTGTCATATAAGCCATCGTAGTCATAGTCGAATATTGGCCCCGTAATGACATTGACTCCATTCCTTTCTGATGCATAGCGTTTCACCAGGACCCTCTGGAGATGGTTCCAGATTTCTAATAAAAGCAAAAATACAAAAATGAATATAAAAATGTCCAGGAAATAAATACTTTTTATTTAACAGAAATAAATATGTATATTTCTACCCATCATGGTGGAAAACTATAATGTGCTTTTTATATCTCATTATTTATTACAGTCCAACGCCAGTAAAAATCTAGTAGTAGTTGGTCTCGTTCACTGGACTTGTTCTGTGAGGTTGATGTTTTGCAGCTTATCCAAACCACTTCTTTAGTTCCCGGAGCTTGGATAAACTATGAAACGTCTTCAACATTACAAAACAAATCCAGCTGAATGTAACTAACTGCTAGTGGATCTACCATCACCTGCATAAATGTGAACCCTCAATGCACAATGAAAAGGTTTTCTTTTTTGAAACACCCCCTACATGGTGTTCCAATACAACCCTCAAACCCGTACAAGGGGGGCATGTTGGATTGTTGGAGACCCAAGCTGCTTTATTTTTGTGTTATAGCAGCAGTCTAGCTCTCCTCCATGCTGCCAGAACAGGGTATTTAAACCCTTGCTAAAACATATAGTAAGAAAACAATGTATAGTGTATAGTAAGAGCCTGACTGCACTACAGTAATCAATACAGAACTTTCAGTTGCTTTATTATTATTATTTTAGCCTATAAAAAGGTCTGGATTAAGCCTAAAAGGTCATTTCTCTTCAGTACTAAGCACTACGAATAAATCAGTAACAACACAATTAAAAAAAAAAAACATCTGCCAAAGAGCATCGAAGGGCTGGAACTGTCAGGTTTTATTCCTGTGTCCCTGTAAAAATGTTTTAGGAGTGTTTTAAGAACAGGGGGTCACTTTCATCTAGCCTAAAATTAGAAGGAAATATTTGCCTGGAGTTTTAGTAGTGGATTATTAGTGCACTTACTTTTAAAAGCTGGATATATAGGAACGACATTTGTAATGAGGAATGCATCATATCTGGCATCTGCAGAGGAACTCAATTCTGAAAATACAAAGGAAAAAATAAGATTCAAATGCAAAAGCCATGCACAACATCTTAACATAAGATATATACAAGATAGAAAACAATAATGTCCCTTAAAACCCAGCTCCGTTGAAATATTTCTTTTAGTTTTGAATAGAGTGAGGAAAGGATTTATTGGTATTTCCACATGGTGGAGATTCCCCTTACTTCCTGTTCCAGTGATTAATTGCTCCACAGTACCTGCAGCTTCAAAGGTCAGTGAGGGCTTATTCTAAAGCTCATTTACTTGACTGTGGAGTATTTTAGAGGGTTTAAAACCTTAACTCCATGTTAAACTTTATAGATATTGTGATGTCTGTTCTTAACCAGTATTTCTGTAGAGTTAATGTGGTTCTAAAGCCTTAACATCTCTTAGGCGTGATGTGAAGGACACCACCCTAACCACTCATGGAGTCCAATGTGAAGATGGTCTCAGCCTCAAGAGGGCCAAAGTGATGGCTGAGGCCATCTTCACATAGGACTCCACAAGCGGTTAGAGCGGCATCTTTCCTCACATCACACCTACATGACTGGAGACATTTGAGGACACCACTTCCCCTTTATTCCGGTGAGGTTATTATCGAGCTCCAGCTTGGAGTGGCGCCATCACGCTACACACATTGGCTAAACCTTTTTTACCTTAAGGCATTCCCTTCATTAGGGTAAAAATGTTCCAGTACCTATATCGCCCCCTCACCCCCCTCTTATATTTATCCTCACTCAGTCCAGTGCTGTGCCCTTTTATAGTGATTCTCCCCACTCTCACAGGGCTTGCTTAAGCAGCAGGAACCATTGGCTCCCAATGCTGTCAGACAAATCCTGTGATGAGAGAGCAGGGGACGGGGCCAAGCTAGGCTGTCTGTGTCTATGGACACAGGCAGCACAGCTCAGGATTGAGCCCGCAGCTGTGACAACATAGGAAGCAGTTTCCTATGGTGGTACACCAAGAAAAGGAAGAGAGGAGTGCCAATGGGGGACCCCGGAAGAGGAGGATCGGGGGCCACTCTGCGCAATTCTATCATGCAGAGCAGGTAACTATACCATGTTCGTTATTAAAAAACAAAAATGTATACTTAACAATTACTTAAGTACATTTGGGCCTAGGGGTGGAAGGTGGAAGCTGTTCGTTCATTTCTTATGAAAAGGTAAACTTACACTTTAAGAGCTCAGTGCAGTTCTGGCATATCAACAGGTATTGTTTTTTTTATTTGTAGGCTCCTAAAGGGTTTTCCTCCACCAGAGGTAAACAGAGCAGTTTGAGTGTTTTGAGCTACCTCCTACAACCATGATAATGTTAACCCCTTCCTGCTTGCCCTGGCATCCCTTTTAAAAGTACTTAACAGTTAGGGTGGCAGAAAGAACCGAGAGCCATTTTTGGCAGCTCCCAACACAAACATTACTTGCCCAGTGATGCAAATATGCAGTGTGTGGGAGTTAAAGCCCAGGTATTTGTCACCGAATATATGAATTACTGGTGAGTTAAACTGTGATTGTGCAACGTAAAAAAAAAAAAAAAAAAAAAAAAACAACATTTGAAGTGCACCATTCAAGAGTGACAACATGGGGCAACCTTCCAACTTTCCATCAAAACACAAGGCATTTAATATGTGTCACCAGTGGAAACAAGCCCTATATTACTTTGCCTGGATATATGCTACAGTGCTAATTGGAATGTAGTAGAAAAATGTAAGCAAAAGTAAAAAATAGTGGCTAACCAGATTTAATGGTTTCAAAGAATTTTATTGGTCTATATAGTTAATTATAAATCTATTGCTCCAGGTTTTGTGCTTCAGTTTAAAGCCCTGACTGCAAGCCTGAGCATGCTAGCTCGTTCCAGTAAAAGAAATGTATCACACATTACCCCTATGATGAAATTTGTGTTTCTGCAAACACAACATTTTACATTTCTTAATCAGCCTGTAGCCTTTCACACAGAACTTCAGATAAAACTCAAGGCTATCCAAGTTCTAACATAGCAATGCTGACACCAGCAATTATCATGCCATGGTTTTTCCTCTTGTGCAAGCCACCAGTAACAAGTTAAAACACACAGATTGAGATACGGAGATAAGACTCACGGGGTGGGAAGAGGAATCCATAGGACATCTGTTTGTCAGCTTTGTAAGCAGAACAGCTTTGGCTGTTGCCAGGAGAAATGCGTGGGTCGAGTCTTACACAATTCGAGAGATAGTCGGGGATGCCAGATACTTCAGCCTGAAAAAAAATCATATGATGTGATGTGTCATACTAGCACAAATTCATATACGGAGCAAAGTATAGACAAGATGTAAATATACAATGTAAAAAGATGGTTAGATGTTGAATTAAAGATTGGTCTGAGACACTTTAGTAAATGAGGGCAATTGTATAGCATTAGGTTACTTTAAAGGGAACTTGACCTGGTCCATAAAGTTTTTGAGACCTTCAGACAAACCGCTAAATATGCAAAAATACACATAAAATACATATGAGGGAGCAGTTTTTACCTGCCAAAGGATATACATTTTTATGCATTCATTCCTGAGATTTGGATGGCCCCACACCACCTAAAGTTAAGGAATACAGTGTTTATTTTTTCCACTCTATGCCCTGTGAGTAGATGGTGAAAGAGCAACAGCAGGCAGATTTGAGGCCATAACTCTGCTCTCACTCTTCTCTCTCCTGCTATCAGCATGTTCATTGCCAGAAACTTTTGCATGCAACAGATCTTATTGGCTTCAAATTCTGCCTCTCTCTCTTTCATTCTGAATGTTTCTATATAGGTTTAATGGTTCCGACTTCAGCTTTAACAACAGTGCCAAAGTGCAAGGACCTTCTGGTACCTGGTTAGCCTTCAAATCATTATCCATGTCTTTGTGGATCTCCCTTGGATGCCAAGACCCAGCTGTACATTGGGTCTTATCTGTGCAAGTCAAGCTTAAGCCCTGCTTCCTGTCATTCAACTGCCCAATTACAGAGACAACAATACCCACTGAAGCTCTAGCATTTGACAGGTGAATGACAAAAAGGGTAAGGTTTCGTGCCAGGAGAGAGGAAGCAAAATAAAAACAAAACAAAAAAAAAATCCTCTCTTCAGATACAGAGCTGCTCTATACTTTAAATAAGTTTGATGGTGGTGATGGTGAAGGTGGCGCAGCATGACGCTCCAAGCCCCAGGAAGATGTCACAGTGACGAAACGCATAGGGGGGACCTACGTGCTGACATCATCGTGCATCGGGAATAGCGGAGTTCTATATTTTATTATTTTATATGCCAGCCAGCGATTTTTACATGCTGTTTCTGTTATCATTTAAGTGCAATCGTTTTTTATTAAAAAATCCTGTTCTTAATGGGTTGACACTATGTGGAGTCCGTTTTCTCTTCTTTGATCTCCCGCGGTGAGATATATATCTCTCCACAAGCGGTTTACTACTGGGTTCTCTACCTTATCGTCCATTTATGAGGAATTGATGGGAGTCCAGAGCACCTTTATGCACATTTGACTTCTCTGGCTAGAGAGTCAACACGGTCTGGTAAGCGCATTACTGTTTTTAGGTGGTGGGATCACCTTGGTTTTTTGTATTGGAAGACATTCAACTTTACTTTAAAAATTAGATCCTGCATTCTGGGGATCTTCACTTCATTCTTTTTAAAGTCACTGTTCATATCATATTGGACTTTTGTATACGTGGACTTTATTTGTGAACTGTGATTTGTGATATAGTATATTTTAATTTGATGTTAACACATGATTCATTAACGCAACAGAAATAGATATAAAGTTTGGAACGGTGTTATATGCCACATAGTACTGTTGCTGCTGTTTGGTACAGATTATTTTTGATTATTATTATTATTCATATATGAGCGCAGTATTCACATCTATATTTCTAAATAAACTTGAGAAGGTGGGGATTAGCTGTATGGAAGAAGGGAATCTTGAAGAGAGGAGCATTAGCTTGATAGAAGTAGGGAACCTTGAAGAGGTGGGGGATTAGGCTAAATGGATGGCGGGAACCTGGAAGTGGTGGGGATTAGCTAAATGGTAGAGGAGAACCATGAAGAGGTGGGGATTAGCTAGACGAAAGAAAGGAACCTTGAAGACATGAGGATTAGCTGGATGGAGAAAGGGAACCTTGAAGAAGTGGGGATTAGGCTAGATAGAAAAAGGGAACCTTGAAGAGATGGGGATTAGCTAGTCGGTAGATGGAAACCTGGGGGGATCCCTTCCTCCATCTAACTCAGTGGTTCCCAACCTAAATCCTCAAAGTACCCCCAACAGGTCATATTTTTGCCATACACAAGTGCTTTTAAATCAATGGCAATGGCTTGTTATGTATAAGGACTATTTTACTAACTAGAATTCCAAAAATGTGGCCTGTTGGGGGTACTTGAGGTCTGGGTTTGGGAAATATTGAGCTAGATAGAAGGGAACCTAGAAGAGGTGGGATTAGCTAGATGGGGGAAAGGAACCTTAAAGAGGTTATGATTAGCTAGATGGAGGCATTAAAGAACATAAAAGGCCCATAAATTTATAACAGCTGAGCATGTTAACCACTGTCTTCCTGTGTCTCTCAGAGACTCCAGTGGTGAGATCTTCCTATTATGGTTCTTTGCAGTGTCCCCACATGCCTTGGAGAATGAGGAGTTCAATCCCACTGATATGTATACATTATGTTCTCACTCTCATTGCTACATTCTCCGTAAAAAATATATAAACATCCTACATGGACAAAGTTAGTCCTACTTAAAGGAAATCTGAGCGGAGTGAAATATCAGGGCTGACCTCCTGCAATGCTTGCTGTTTGGCTCTCTTGCTGCAATACGTTTTGGAACACTGAGCTGCAACAAGCAAGTTAGAACTCCTGATCTTTGTGTGCATCAGTGACCCAAAGTACTGAAGACACTGGATCAGCATTACTCTCAGGAAACTGGCATTTTCAGAAGGAAAGGTTAGGAATGGTTTACATGAAAAGCTACTGCCAAGTGTGCAGGCCTGGAAAGTCAAGCACCAAAGATCCAGCCATAGAAAAAAAACTTAATTGAACCCCTTGAGCCTAAAGCAGAACTCAATCACTTCCTGCCAAGCCCTTGATTTGCTTTAATAGGACCTATACCCCCTACCGGCAGGAAGGATCAGTCATTCACATCACCACTGTGATTGGCTGTCACAGTGGTCACATAATTGGGAGCTGGTCTTACCAACAGCTGATCATTAGTGTGGACTGAGAGTGATCTTTGACCACTCGGTTACTGTGCAGGCAGCATGCAGTGAGCGCATTCTCAGCACAGAAATCTCTGCCGCCCACACGTTTTGTGGGTGGCAAGAGGTCAAAACAAGATCTTACTGCAATATCTACTTTAATTTCTGAGATTTCCCCCACAGTACTTTTTTTCTACCATTGGATGTCCTCATTCTGACTGCCAGCATGATTTAACCCACTTAGTATGAGCTATGGTTGTCCTGGACATGCCCCAGCCTGTGACTGGATAGTGAAATAAGAAGCAGCACAATTATGAGCACATCACTCTGTCACTCTGCTCTCTCTTCCTATCAGAATGCTCTTCCTCAGTCTGAACTTTGCTGTACAGAGATTGCAAGAGGCTGATACCAAGTCAAATACAGGTTGCATTTAAGCTTGAGGTGATTGCAGCCATATTAGTGCACTCGTAACAGAAACAACTACTTTTTTTCATTTGCACTAATTGTACTAATACATAATACTAATAAATGTATTAATAAAATTGTATGTTAGTGCAAATAAAAAAGTATCCCGGACAGTACTCACTTGTTTCAGTGAAATTTAAAAATACATTTAATAATGCATCAATAAATACAGAGCTGCATTAATTTGTGTCTTTTATACCTGCCTGGAATTCTGCTTTAAAGTGAATATAAAGAACATATTTGTTGTTTTGGATAGTGGTGAGGAGATGGAGCCCCTGTCAGGTTTTTATTAAAGTCCTGCTAGGGAAATTCACTGTAATTGTTCTAGTGATTATTCTTATCAGGACCGAAAGTGAGTGAGAATTTAACATTTTGAGAACAGGAATAAAGGGGAAATCTTCCAATAAGATCATTTGTTCTGAGGAGAGCTGTAAAAAGTTCTCAATACACTAGTAGATTTTCGAACAAATGTTGGCATGAATATTTGTAAAATATTTTCAATACATTCAATAAATTGATGAATGTTGTTCGAAAGTACTTGAAAATTGAGTTTCCTTTCAAAATTCAGTTTTGGAATGAATGAACTTTCACAAATGAAAACCACACACACACAGTTAGAAATGTTTTTGTTTCAGAAATTTTTTTTTCATCCTGCTCCTGTGAATTTTCTTGTCATTGCGGTAAAAAATAAACATCAAAAACCTGCCATTGCATAAAGATACCTACATCAACAGTGGATGCCCCAAAAAGGTTTGAAAGAGTTTGGTCAAAATGGCTGGAGGATACTTTTACAGCCTCAATGCCTGACATAATTTAGCATGTCCACTGAACTTCCAAAATTCAGGGTTCTTTCCATCCATTAATTACGTCTCTTACACACGATGAGAATATTGTACTAAAGAAAAAAACAACCCTTTCGGAGCAATTATCGGATAATCTGATCCTTAGTACACAGCTTTCAAGAGCCGATCAAGACAGGTCACGCAAACATTTTTGAAGGGACAAGCACGAAAATTTTTCTTGTATGGTAACAGAACCAATGATTTTTGTTTAATTAATACAGTATTCGTCCGTAAAAAACTAAGCGATCAGTGGTAGGATAGTGGTATCACTTTTTCAGATGAGGATTGGGATTCCATGGTGGATAACATATGTAAGTGTTCTAGATCTCTTTCTGTTCCTGAGACTGCCCTCAAGGTTCTAACCAGATGGTACTATACCCCATCAAGACTACATGTATTGTTCCCACAAACATCCCCTTTGTGTTTCTGGGGCTGTGGCCTCACAGGTACATTGGTTCATATATTTTGGGATTGCCCGACCATATCTTTGATTTGGCGCAAGATATCTGAGGTGGCTACCTCACTGGCGAGTATCCCGGTACGATTGTCTATACAGACCTGTTTATTGGGGGCTCATATCCCGGGGGTCTCTGATGCCTCTACGAGACTGATACATACTATTTGTTTGCCACTTTATGGGCTATTGCCTTACATTGGAAGTCCAATGCTGTACCGTTGGCCTCTGTTTTACGCAGGGTTGATGCAGTGATGCTCATGGAACGTATTCATTATACCTTACTGGATGGGATGCACTTATTTGATAAAAAAAATGGGAATCATGGAGGGATTATAGACATTTATTGCATGATTAACAACATTCCAAGTGAAGATTGACTGGCATATACTGTTGACAGATGTATCATTCAACCTACTTTATTGTCTATATATTTCATGTATTTGCAATCTATTCTTTTCTATTTCTTCTCTTTCTTATGTTAATATACTTTTCTGTATTGTATTTTTCAAAAGTGCCTTGTTTTTGCTGTAAGTATCATTTGAAAATGTACTGTTGTTTTACAGTCTACTTTTGCAAAATAAAACCGTTTGTAAACAAAAACTAAGCGATCAAGACCATGTATGCTTGGAAACAAAAGAATACATTACAATCACTTGCGAAGCTGTATTTTGTCTTATGAAAATTTTCGTAACTTTAGTACCTCGATATGAGACGAACATGCAAAAAAACAACCTGACGATTATTGGTATGATATTCTCATCATGTGTACAAGGCTTAAGAATCTGAGGAATCAAACCTGTCTAGGGCACGGCTTCTCCATAGCATAAACCAAGTGAAGAAATGTCACCAGGACACCAAGGATTCCTCACGAAGGGTCCAAAGCTTTATTCTCGTGGTCACACGGTACACATAAGGCAATGTTTCAGAGCCACGCCTCTTTTGTCAGGTCACTTGCTTGATGAAGGGGCCCTGCGTGACTCCAAAACGTTGTCTTATGGGTACCAAATGACCATGGGGTGAAAAGCTTCTTGAGGAATCCTTGGTGTGCTGGTGACATTTCTTTACTTGGATTTTCTACGATTCCCAGCCTGTGGTCATTGCAGCACCCATTATTACCGAATATCCATTTTCAGGAACATGTGCATGGGGAATATTGCGTTTGGATTCCTAGCATGAACAACGCACATAGGTTTTTTTTTGTATTGAAGCATGTGCCTTCTGGCACCTAATGTTATGGTTTAGATGAGTGAAGGCCACTGTGTGGGTGTATTACTCGCCATTTTCTTGTTGTACTGTTCTACAAAAAAAACCTAAATAAAATAAAAACTTATTTAAAAAAAATAACATCGATTTGGCCCCCACTATGAGAAACTGGAATGGATGTTCCTAAAACAATACGCTTAAAACAAAAAAATTCTACTGGTGTATGGCCACCAAAAGAGGGTATTTTTGTCACTTTTTAATTTCCAGTTGTGTCTACAGGACAGGAAGAAAAGAAAAAATCTCCCCAACACAGGGGACAAAAAAAGAAATACAACTGGCAAGGGTAACCTTTCCCAACTTCATCCAAAACTTGAAAGGGAAAAAAAAAAAAAAAAAAAAAACCACACACACACATACAACTTTTGGCCTTAGACTTACTCTAAATATCCATCCTGGGTGAACTGACCCTTTAAGGGATTATGTGGATGATAGAGCAGATTCCTTCACTGGTGAACTTTGCAGGCAGATACATGGATACCACCATAATACCCAGATAGAGATCACGTAAACATCAGGCTAGCCCTGTTATGAGTCTTGACGTGTCTAGCTTCCTGGGAAATCCCTCACAACACCTGGCCACTTAATTGCAACAATTTCTCAAATGGTTTTGAGTTGTTCTCTGAGGTCAGGAAAGAAAATTACCAGTGATTTGTTTTTCTACAATGAATTCCTTTCAGTCGTTTGGAATTCACTGTACACAACTAAGCCCTGGTTGGCCTATGCTGCGTTCTTGCATGACTGGCACTGGCTGTGACAGGCAGTGAGAGGGAGGGATGGCACCGGAAAAGTTCCTGAACTTGGCAGACTGCAATGCTAAACTGGGAATATGAATTGCTTAAAGATGAACTCCAGGCAAACCGCTAAATACACAAAAAAAAAAAAAAAAAAAAAAAAAAAACAAAGAAAAAAAAAAAGTTGGATTTGGGATCTGCATAGCATCTTGGGTTGGAATAACCCTATAGATAAAGGTACATAAAAAGACCAAACACTTTGTCACCTCGAAAACAAGGGTGTCCCTTGTAGGCTAGCCTTACACAGTAAGAATTTTGTTTGAAACAATCAATAATAAAACATTCGTTCAATTTTCTTACAGATAATTGGGACAAATTTGCTGATTGTTTTCAACCAAAGTGATCAGAATAATTGAAGGTAAAGGATGAAAAAATGTTTGTTTCTTATCTGATTGAATAAAATTCTATCTATCTGTGGGGGGGGGGGGGGACAATCACACGTATTGTAATGCGCTAGATAAAGTTTGGTCTTGTAACACAACTTTCCTTGTTTGTCAGAGATATTTACATGTTATATATGGTATATACTCTGATCATCCACAACATTATGACCACCCACCATAACTCGTGGAGGCATGGACTCCACTAGACCTCTGAAGGCATGCTGTGGTTACATAGTTAGTCTGGCTGAAAAAAGACAAAAGTTCATCAAGTTCAAGCATTAAAAAAAAAAAAAAAAACTGGCACCAAGCTGTCAGTTGCGAGGTGGGGCATCCATGGATTGGACATGTTTTTCCAGCACATCCCACAGATGCTGGTTGAGATCTGTTGAATTTGGAGGCCAAGTCAGCACCTCAAACTCATTGTTGTGTTCCTCAAACTATTCTTGAATTCATTAGACCAGGCCACCTTTTAGCATGGGCACCCTGACTGGCTACACAGTCCCATGTACAATAAGCTGTGATCCACTGTTTGTTCTGACACCTTTCCATTGGAACCAGCATGAACATTTTCAGTAATTTGACCTACAGTAGCTCTTCTATTGGATTGGCCAACACTTCCCATGTGCATCAATGAGCCTTGGCTACCTATGACCCTGTCACCTGTTCATCAGTTTTCCTTGTGACACGTTTGGTTGGTCCTGACCACTGCAGACTGGGAACAACCCAAAAGAGCTGCCATTTTGCTCTGACCCTGTCGTCTAGCCATTACAATTTGGCCCTTGTCAAAGTCGCTCAAAACCTTACGCTTGCCCATTTTGCTCTGCTTTTAACACATTGACTTCAGGGACAACAGGTTTACTTGCTGCCTATTCTATCCCACCCACTTTCATATGCCATTGTAATTATATAATCAGTGTTATTTACTTTACCCATTCGTGGTCATAACGTTATGGCAGAGGAGTGCATAGTATGTGGTCACAGGCATAAATACTACATCATTTTTGCACATTCTGAAATCAAATCTTAAACGCTAAACCACTGTCATAGCCATCAAACAAAATTCTGAAGGGCTTTCTAATGAAATGCGTCAAGTCACTGATGATACTATTGCATGTCCTGATTAACTACTTTGCAGAATGTCTATTCAAACAAAATTCTGCCTGTGTATGGCTAGTCCAAGCTGTACTCTCCTTTGAGCTCCAACTCTTGCAACGATAATACAATATTTACTAAGTCTGGAATAGCTGGAGTCTGGAGCAGCTGTGCATGCCGACCAATCAGCTTCTGGCTTTCATTTCCAAAGTTTAAACAGTAACTCTTTCTTTGTTGAGAGGAAAAACAATCCTCTGTTTGTGATACCGATTGCAAGGATCTAACCAAAGTTTGTTGCAGATTCCTAACTGTTTTTCCTCTGCAGAATGTTCTGTGCCCACTGTTTCTGAATGGGAGGGTCTGGTTCATTATAATCAGCTGGTGCACTCTCTGTGCTCTGATGAGGAAAGTTGCAGTGTCTGCATCCCTTTAGAAGTATTTAGCTCTTGGGGAGTATCTCACCAAAAATGAAATTTCTTTTGAAGAGGATGCCTAAAATTTGACTTGTATCTTAGTTCCGACTTCAGGGAAAATCAGTGAGGCAAGCAGGAAATGACATGGTGTACAGAACACCTAGAGGTTACCAGATTGCATTGCATTTTACCGAAAATGACTGTACAGAGCTGCAGATTGAAAAGGAAAGGTAATTTTTAATACCTGTATGGCTTGTGTAGCAAGCCATATGCGAGGGGTAGGCAACCTTGACTCCTGCTGTGGCGAAGCCACAAATCCCATCATGCCTCTGCCGCTTGGAGACATGCTCGTGGCTGGAGTCTTGCAATGCCTTATGGGACTATATGGTCATTTCACCACAGCTGGAATGCCAAGGTTGACTACCTCTAGTACCTGCTATATTATTTTTATATTTAATTTTTTTTATCAACGAAAGTGGATTTACCCTTTAAACGAACAAGCAGATTGGTTATTATGCCCACCTGCTCCAGATTCTGTTTTCTCTATTTGGTAAATCTCCCCCCCAAGAGACTACTATGAAATGTACTGACCTGTTTTGATATGGTATACGACGTCCAAAGTGGCATCATCAAGCTCTCGCTGTAACCACTTACAAAATCACTGTGTTGTAGTATGCTGTACTTGGTCTTAAATAACACAGCTGGTCTCCCATAGAGGGGGTTTTTATCTGAAAAAGATAACAAAATGATGGGTCATACAGCTTGCCTTGTCATGAACCAAAAACCGGTAAATGCAGCCAAGAATGTTGGATGAACAATTACATTCAGTATATACGTTTGATCACAAAAAAAACCCCCAAAAAAAAAAAACGGTGGTTCTTCCTTGTGCCATTTCAGACTATAATGACATTATGGTTTGCAGTCACGATTAACTAGAACTATTTGATCAACAATGTGCCTACTGGAATTTTTCAACCCATTTGCAAAATATATTACACCACCAATGATATCTACTTTTTATGGCCTCATCCAAGAAGAGATAAAACTAATGGTGTAATGCTTTTTAATAGAAGTGATTGTGCCAGAATCAACATGAAAAATTCTCCAACAGAAAGTCTGGAAATTGAAAGATTCACATACAGTACATACAAGCATAGACGTACACCAAAAAGTAAGAACATGGACATCCAATGTGACAAAGACAGCTGCCCTAGAGAATAACAGCCAATACCGAAAATAAATATTCTGAAAATATGAACAAGAATATAACAGATGGAACTAAGCTGTCCAGCACCAACATATTGCCCAAACAAAGCAGGTGTGACTAAAGACCCATGAAGATTTTTAACAAAAGATTACATTTCCTAAAGCAGTATTGCAAAGACCCATGCATAAAAGTACTTCCACCATGTTGGTCGTTTACTAAATGAAAACGGAATATAATAAACACTATTCCTATACAGTAATGATCCTTAAAAAGTAAACCCAAACAATGAACTTCTCTTATTTGTTCTTGTGGTCTGGTAAGAATACCATTAAAAGGGATTTGTTATATCTACAATAAAAACATCGATTGACCATGTCAAAAATGTACAAGCTCTTAAGTCCTTTTCTCAGTTCTACTCTGAAATTTCTAACAGTGTTACCCGCTCTGCCCATTTCTTTATGTGGACTATAGACCCCCCCCCCCCCAAATGAGATGAGGAGAAGGGGAGGTGTTCTGTAGTCATTACTCATTTCTTGTCCTAGGGCTACCATGCTGACATCCCGTGGAGTACAATAAGTGTCCGTTATTGCTCTAGGACAGGACTGGGAAGCAACTGGTAACAAGAGCAACTCAGCCACAAAGTGGTAGGACATGTAAAATGACAGAGCTCACAGTGCGTAGAAATCGCCAACTGTCTGCAGTGTCAATAGCTAAGGACCTCCAAACTTCGTGTGATCTTCAGATTAGCACAACAGTGCATAGAGAGCTTCATGGAATGGGTTTCCATGGCTGAGCAGCTGCATCCAAGCCTTACATCACCAAGTGTAATGCAAAGCCTTGGATGCAGTGGTGTAAGGCACGCCGCCACAGGACTCTAGAGCAGTGGAGACGTGTTCTCTGGAGTGCCGAATCACGCTTCTCTGTCTGGCAATCTGATGGACGTGTCTGGGTTTGGCAGTTGCCAGGAGAACGGTACTTGCCTGACTGCATTGTGTCAAGTGTAAAGTTTGGTGGGGGGGGGGGGGGATTATGGTGTGGGATTGTTTTTCAAGGTTTGGGCTTGACCCCTTAGTTCCAGTGAAAGGAACTCTTAAGGTGTCAGCATACCAAGACATTTTGGACAATTTCACGCTCCCAACTTTGTGGGAACAGTTTGGGGATGGTCCCTTCCTGTCCCAACATGACTGCGCACCAGTGCACAAAGCAAGGTCCATAAAGACATGGATGAGTGAGTTTGGGGTGGAGGAACTTGACTGTCTTGCAGAGAGTCCTGACCTCAACCAGATAGAACACCTTTGGGATGAATTAGAGCGAAGACTGCGAGCCAGGCCTTCTCGTCCAATATCAGTGCCTGACCTCACAAATGTGCTTCTGGAAGAATGGTCAAACATTCCCATAGACACACTACTAAATTTTGTGGACAGCCTTCCCAGAAGAGTTGAAGCTGGGTGGGCTAACTCAATATTGAACCCTATGGACTAATACTGGGATGCCATTAAAGTTCATATACGTGTAAAGGCAGGCGTCCCAATACTTTTGGCAATATCATGTATCAGTTTTCAGTGAAGCTATCTTTGAATCAATACACCAGTTGTGTCTTGTGTTATGTAAACGATCCATATCTGGGAAACTTTGCTTTTCCATATGGACATCCGCTATTTTTTTTTCAAGCCAAGCAAAAATGTTAATTATAACCTTCATTTTTTATTTTCTATAATAGAGTTGAAGCATTCTCTTCATTTTCTGTCTCAGTGAAAATGATCACCAGGAAAACCGGAGGGGTGAATCTCCCCAGCAGGTACGTAGGTCACAGTAAAAACACGATCGGGTCTAAAGCTGGCCATGCACTGGCAGAAATTCAACAATTTTCTAATTGTTGGTGGAGTTGAATCAGCATTCATTTTTAGCTGATCTGATGAGAAAACTCGAAGGAGCAAGATGAAATATTTTATCTCAAAAGATCACATTTGTGACAGTGAATGCTAACTTTAGTAAAGTTCATTCACTCTAAAATCAAATGTTAAAAGCAAGTATTTTTGAACATCATTCATCAAGCCATTGAATGTATTGATGAGAATGTTGGTACGAATGTTAAATCTACTAGTGCATGGCCAGCTTTACTCTTTTCCGCTCTATCCATAAGTAATAGTCCTAAATGTGACATGACATGGATGCAACTGTCATATTTTGGTCACATAGTCACTGGAGAAGGAAATAATGTTTGGGAAGATCAAAGGAACCAGAAGAGGGAGACCAACTAGGTGGTTGGACACATTGACTTCTGCTGTGGGGATGACACTGGAGGATCTCACCAAACAAGCACAAAGAAGACTTCTTTTTAAAGATTGGATTCATCAAGTCGCTTGGACTCGGACTTGAGTTGATGGCACATAATAATAATTAAAACCAATCAAATATATTTTGTGGAAAACAAGAAATCCATACACTATTCAAAGTTATTAAAAAAAACATTTTTAACTGGCATATGAAATAAAAAATTTTACAAATTACAGAAATAAAAACTGAGATTGGCTGACAGCATGGAAACATTTAGAAAAATAACTGAAACAGATTGTGCTTGCATCAGGCCATGTGGTAGTGTATGAATCATTTTTAAATTGCATATTGTATATAGCTAATGATCTGAATAACTCATTTAAATGTTAACCAAAGCTAGTCGTAATAAGAGCATGAAGTTTGGAAGGGTAAAGGAATAAGAAATAATAAAACTGATACAGTTAAATATTAGGGGAACAGTATAGATGGAATGAAATGATTGGAGGATAGTTCATTCAGACAACGGAGGTATTTCATATCTCCTAAAATGAGAAAAAAAGACTTGTTTCATTAACCTTGATTACATGGAGTAATTTATTGAGAGCGTAAAAACCATCAGTTGATATAAAGATTGAGGCAAATGAAGTTATATGCAAATCTTGACTTTTCCTTAAAAAAAAAAAAAGCCATCAAACTTGTTCTTCCCTTCTACGAGTATGCTCATTATTTTAAAGTGGAACTAAACAGTTACATTCAAGGCAAGCCGTGAATGATACCTGTGACGCTTGCTTGTGCTCTCTACCATACTGCCAAAGTCTCAAATGGCTGTTGTTATAACTGATCTCATGTCCAGCAACACGGCAGCTACAGATCAAACGGAGGCTAAGATGGCAGCTTCCTTGGCTATAATGCAAAGTAGGGTTTGGTTTCGCTTTAAGATCAACATGAAGACTCTATTAGCAGAAGGGGCAAGATCAAGCAGAAATGTTACGGAACAGTTGAGAATTACATATAAAACGTCTGCCATTTAGTGTGGATTCACACATGTGCTGTGTGAATTGAAGCTCCGTTTTCACAGCTAATTGATAAAGTATTTGTTCAGCATTTCAGGTCAGGTTCAGAGGAGGATCAGGTCAGGTTCAGATGAGGATCAGGTCAGGTTCAGATGAGGATCAGGTCAGGTTCAGATGAGGATCAGGTCAGGTTCAGATGAGGATCAGGTCAGGTTTACATCAGGATTAGGTCAAGATTTTATCCTGTTCACAACTGTAAGACGTGTGATTCAGAAGCGTTCTCATAGAAGTCAATGGGCCTGAATTCGAACCTGAGCCAGACCACACTGCTCATAAAACTGACAGGACTCTTTCAATTCGCACTGAATCCGCACCAGACACATGTGAACAGGCACAGTAGAAAGCAATGTTCTTTCATATGTCATGCAAATTGTATACAGTTCAAAATGCATCCAATTTGCATATGTGTGAACCGGCTCTTATACTTGTGAATCTTCTGAATGTTTTAGCATGTAGCTTTCACTTAAAGTGGTTGTAAACCCTTACAGATACCTAGTGAAGTGACTGGCCCCAGGTAATACACAGAGATGAAACAAATCCTCCAACATAAGTTGCACCTGTTTATCTATAGCAGTCTTTCCCCTACATGCATTTAAAGAGCAGAATTTACACAGGATCTTTCAGCTCCAAAAAACAGGGAGCGGGGAGCTGCAGTTACATTAGTGAGGAGAGCTCTGAGAGCTTATTGGAGGGACACTTCCCCTTCACACAGCACATGGAAACAGAGCTGAGGATGTCAATCACAGGCTGTGCCCTCCCGTCACCATTTTTCTCTCGGTGTTAAAAAAAACTTGTTAGAAGTGACTCATGCTTATAACAGAGGAATGAGGCAGCAGACAGAAATGGCACTTAGTGCTCTGGATTGAGACAAGTACACACTATAGAGGGATATGCTTTGTTCATATTTCATGTCTGAGGTTTACAACCACTTTAAGTTGATCTCTGATTTTTACTTTGAAAAAGGTCCAACACCAATCCTTCACATTACTTTCTTTGGTAAAAGATATGCGATCTAGGACATCCATAAAAACCCAGCAGAAAGCCAATGTGTTTCAGCCAAAGCCTTAGTCAGGCTATGACTAAGACTTCAGACAAAACACGTTGGAGTTCTGCTGGGTTTGTCTGCATGTCCCATATTGCTTATCTATTACCAAATAAAGTACTGTGAAGGACTGTTATTAGACTCCAGGTGGACAGGAACCTGAGCCGTTGATGCCGACATTCCTGGTGTTCATACTGGCATGGAAATGGAGATGCACTTGTGATATTTCTAAGTCTGATTTTAACTTCCCATTGTATCAAGTTTGACCTGCATAGCATATGCTCCCGGCCAGCTATCAAATATTAATGTTACTGTGAAAGCTGATATCCTGGAGGGATAGATACAGGTAATAATAAGAAAACTCGAGAAGATCATTGCTAAAACCTGGTGACATCACTCAGCAACAATATCTCTTCTCTTAGCAAATAGACGCAAGGACAAATCTACCCAACAGGGACACAGACAACAGTATAGCCATGGTATGAGAAAGATAGTAAACAGAACTTAGGAAGACTTGAGAAGCCAAAATAGACAAAACTTCTGAAGTGCATAAACTTCTTCATTAATAAAGTACAAGGTCTATATTCCTTTTCTTGCTCCTTAACAAAACCATATTCAGTGACTCAATACTAGTGTGCTTTAGGAGCACCATAAATATGATAGAACTATGCTCCATCTGTTAGAGTCTTAAAGGTGGACATTAATGTAGTACTTTTACATGTGATCCAAATGGTGAAAAATGAATAAAATGGTGTTAGGGGTGTTTAAGATGTTTAAGAGCTGGACAGCCATCAATATGTCCTGCTTCAAAGGCTCACCAGCTCCACTCGTCATTGGCATTCCTGAAGACTCCTGCTGGTGTTCCCACGAAGAAGTACTTAAAGTTGCGTCTTCTGAGCTGCCACTTAACCTTTCTAAGAGCGCAGACCCTGCAATGCCATCCTCAGTGTGCAAGCCTTTTATTGTTGAGAGAAACACGATAATGATTCTTTATTTATCTGCCACTTCGACATAAACAAACGACACAGAAGGACAGACACAAAGATTTCCCTATTCCCCAGTCTCAGGACAAATGGACACTTGGGTCATGATTTACCAGATGTGTCAGTTTTCAGTCCAGCTCCCTCTCCCAGCTGGTTTCTAACTTGCACCTCTGGAAAATCGCCCTTCTAGACGTAATTTTACAACAGCCGGTTAAATCTACACAAGTAATAGATAGACAAACCTGAGTTCCTTGGTAGCACCTCCTTAATTTCATTGCTAAGCTCGTCTACTGCCACATCTGTTAATACAAACAAATACAAGCATTACTGCAGCTTTTGACGACAAATCCTCGTGAGCTTCAATCAGTATTTATCTTGAAGGATAACTAAACCCAAGAACAAAAATGTAATTCTTTGAAGATTTCCAGTCCTTAGATGTGGTAGCTGCATTAGTTTTCTTTTTCATGCTAGGAACAGGTTTTTAAAGTACAGAAAATACCTGCTGATCTTGCTAGAAATTCCATGTCCTCATACTCTGTGAGCTGAAAACACAGTAGTAGTGTAGTGTAGACTACCAGTCTCATCAGTCCCCCATGTAATGGGGGATGAGCATAGTTGAACCAATTTGTATGGTGATAACCATGGCTCCTGCAATAATGGAGTGGAGTGCAACAGTGAAGGTGTGAACGTAGTCAAACTGAAGTGCATTATTCACAGGAATAACAGGTAAAAATAAAGAGCCTGAAAAAAATAAACTATTACAGCCACTTGACCTAAGCAATGGTAAACTACAATAGATTGATTTTCTGTTTTTGGTTTTAGGTATGCTTTAATAAAATATCGAAGGCAGCGAGTGTCTATACTAGTAGGTTTAGTACTTCCACCAAATCATGAAGCCTTTGTCTTAATATTAGTGTTAATCTACCAAAAGTGAGAGATGGATTTTTCTATCATTTTCTTTTTTGCTCTATTTTCAACAGCAGTAAGAATTGAAAAAGGAAGATCAGAAATCAAATTAGTTTATCTGATAATATAATGGTAATAAGGCCTGGGTTGCATCACTGTGACCTAGAACGTGTTTTCTGTACAACCACTGATCTACATACGGTATGTATATTACTTTTTTCTTGAAATAAAAACTACTGATTGTTTTACTCTTGCAAATTTGTGAGTAAATAGAATTTGAAAAGCCAAGTGCGGACCAGGGGCAGACTGACAACTCATGGGGCCCCCGGGTAATAGGGGATCATGGGGCCCCTGTGTCCTTGCCCAAACGCAAAAAAGCCTATGAAAAAGGTACCAGGGGCATCTCATGGGGCCCCTACTGACCACGGGCCCTCAGGCAATGCCCGAGTTTCCAAATGGTCAGTCCGCCCCTGGTGCAGACTCAAGGCCTCTTAATTGTACGAATCCAGGTCTTGGCCCATGTGGGACTATACAGGCATCCAATTTTGGTGGTATTACTTTTTTTTGTAACAAGAGCACCAGCATGGGCTGGTACATGTGCTCTATAAAATAGAGCAAATGTGGAGAATATGTCCAGTGTGCAGAGAAAAGGTCTACGAATGTTTTTGGGTCTACTACAAGGCTTCTGTTGTTGACACCTTCCCACAATGCTCCCTTTGTGAAAACTGGCAAAACTCTCCAAAAATGCTCTTGTTGCAGACTCCTGCCCGCACGGCTCCCGTTGAGGACACCTGCCCGCACGGCTCCCGTTGAGGACACCTGCCCGCACGGCTCCCGTTGAGGACCTGCCCACACGGCTCCCGTTGAGGACACCTGCCCACACGGCTCCCGTTGAGGACACCTGCCCACACGGCTCCCGTTGAGGACACCTGCCCACACGGCTCCCGTTGAGGACACCTGCCCACACGGCTCCCGTTGCGGACACCTGCTCACATGGCTCAGTTGAGGACACCTTCCCACACGGCTCCCATTGAGGACACCTGCCCACACGGCTCCCGTTGCAGACACCTGCCCACACGGCTCCCGTTGCAGACACCTGCCCACACGGCTCCCGTTGCAGACACCTGCCCACACGGCTCCCGTTGCAGACACCTGCCCACACGGCTCCCGTTGCAGACACCTGCCCACACGGCTCCCGTTGCAGACACCTGCCCACACGGCTCTCATTGCTGACACTCATAAACAAGACTCCCATTGAGCACACCTGTCCACATGGGCCTTGTTGCAGACACCTGCCCACAAGCCTTCTGTTGTGGACACCTGCCTTTAAGGTGCCAATTGTGGAAACCTGCCTACAGGGTTCCCATGGTAGAAACCTGCCTGTAGGCTCCAGAAATGTAATCTTCTTCTGTACATCAACCACTACTTGGCAAAACCCTACATTTTCTAAACCAAAAATAAAATGTAAAATGGCTAAGATTATATAATATTTATGTCCAGTACCTATAGGTATCTTTAAATCTTCACTTGCAATGCCCGGCACTGGAGCCCATCAAAGGACTCTTGAGCTCCCATATGAGTTTGCTGAACACAGATAATAAAGGGAGTTCTGCCTGTACCTTTAAACTAGTAAAACCTTCCAGGAGCCACCTAAATGCTTGTAACACAATTATTTAGTCTTTGTTCATTAATATTTGTTTTAGCTTTCCCAGATTGGTGCTGCAGGGTGCATAGGGGTCTTCAGGAACTTTATTTAATGCGTTGTAAATGCTTCTAAAGTTTGTAAATACCTGCTTTAAGGTATGCTTCCCAGACTGGCTAAGGTTTACAAAAAACGTATAATGTGCCAGGCCATTCAGTTTCTAAATACACATCAGTATAGCACAAACGGCATCCAACAAGCGTTGAGGTCAACCGTCTACCGCCTCTGATCGAATGGTGACAACTTTACATACAGATTCACAAAATCATCACAGAAACATTTCCTTATACAAGGAGGAATTACAGCAACTCCTTTTTGGAAACAGGATGTAAATGACTTGTACAAAACATGCTTCGTGACTGCAAACCATAACATTATTAATTCATTTTATAGATGAGCACTTCTTATTATGGGGCTACATTAGTAACGGAACATATGAAATACAAATTAAACATCTAGATACATTTGCATTGAATCCATCAATGTAATCTAGTTAAACAGAAGTCATTAAAATTCCTAATATGCACTGCCAACAACAACAACATTTACTTTCCATCTTATGATACATCCATAGAAATGATAAGACCTCATGCACACTGGACATTTTTACAGCTGCTATTTTTGGCTTTTGGCGTTTTTTTTCTACAGTCAGTAGACTCCCCAGCATGTTATCCTATGTGTCCATGCACACATAGGCTTTTAATCAGCCTTTTTTTTTGGCAGGGGCGTTTTTTGTCTGGAAATGAAAAACTCAGAAATAGTGAGTTTCTAGAGGAGTTTTTTAGCTGTAAAAACTCTCTAACGCTGAAAAACGCAACAAAACGTGGTAAACCGGCATTTTTGCCCATTTTTTTTTGTGTTAAAAAATGCTAAAAATTGCAACTGCGGAAAAATGCGGCTAAATGCTCATGCAAAAACGCTGACAAACTTGCGTTTTTAATGCTACCAGCATTATTAAAATGTCCAGTGTGCATGGAGCCCGAGACTGAAGTTAAAGAAACTCTGGGATAAACAAATATTTAGTAAATAAAAAGGTCCATATCTATTGTATATTTTAATCTGCTTTGTATATTTTTTTTTTTACATTTGTCCAGTAATACAACATTAAACTTTTCCTCTGTGCAGGAGCTTCCTGTAATAAAGACCAGTCATTGCTCCCTCCTTGTATCCACCCCCTACTGTAGTCTCCTGTAGGCAGCATGTTGTAGGTGGGGCATGCTGGGTCCCTCGCACAGCTCTGAATAGGCTATGTAGAGCTCAGTGTTGTCACTGCTACTTTATAAAGTAATACCTGGGTTTGTAAATGTATTTACTTGACACAAAGCCGATTAATATCCTTTGTGTCTATTGAGAAATATATATTTAAATTCATTTTTGTGCCCAGAGTTAGCTTATTGAATTATTTACTGTGCCGATTAATGACATTTGGTTAAGGTGCATTAGACTGAGGCAGGTTTAGTCTGAAGCACCAGGTGTTCAGTATTTTAATAATGAAAATATAAGCAAAAGGTTTAAAATTAAAGCAGAACTAAATTCTCTCAATCAGCATTAACTATTTTTAATCCCCACACTGCTAGTATTCGTAAACAAATAGGAAGGTATATTATATTTACTTGTTTTAAACTTTTCTTAACATTTCTTCAGTTGCTTTCTGACCTAGGCCAGAATTATGTCATACATCCTAGGAGTCTCCATTACCTATTTTTTTATCTCAACTGGAGAAGGGGCTCTCTTGGCTAAGTACACCCACCTGCCTACGCTAAGGGCAGATGGACTCCAGGAAGTAAATGCTACATGAATTATCTGCCCTAACGTACGATGGCTGCCGCTAGAAATGCTAGGAGGATGTTTTTTCAAAGTGATTTCTCAACAATGGATGCGTGAGTTTGCGTTGAATATTAAAAAATTAATCAAATAGCGTTTTCAGTTTGTAGTGCACAGACACAGTTTAGCTCCACTTTAACATGACATTCCTCCTCAAACATTCCTAACATGACATTTTCCTATACAGATAGCAGTGCTAAACTTTGTCACCAAAAATCTTCCCATTATGAGAAAAGAAGAAAAACAAAACCATTAATACCCAAGATGAGACTTGCCGGAAAATCCCTAATTATGGGAATTTCTCTCAACTATTTACCTGTGAGATACTTTGTTAGCCAGAAATCCTTCAAACAGGATGGAAGATGCAATCATTGAACGCCAACATGTCTATGCAGCTCTTTGTTCTACATGTGATACAGATAATCTGAAGATGTGCATCTTCTTCAGATTTAGCAATCACCCTGGAAAATGCATGGCCTACTGTCGAGAAGAATCGCCAGGTGTCCTGATTTCCAGGAACCTGGGTAGCTTTACCCAACATCTTTTGAAGACTGAATACTGTTATCAATAGCTATTTAAAGTGGAAGTGTAGTGAAATCCTAACCATACTTAAACGTGCTCCCACCCAGGGGCGGAATGACAACTCATGGGGCCCCCGGGCAATAGGGGATAATGGGGCCCCTGTGTCCTTGCCAAACTCAAAAAAGCCTATGAAAAAGGTACCAGGGGCATCTCATGGGGCCCCATACTGACCCCGGGCCCTCAGGCAACGCCCGAGTTTCCAAATGGTTAGTCTGCCCCTGCTCCCACCCCTAAGCTTACTCTACCTACCCTGGAAAGGAAAGAGGTCTATACTTATGCTGAGGCCCTTCAGTCACATGATCAGCTCCCAGTGCTGTAGAGGAGGGACAGTACACCTATGAGGGATGTCACTGCATAGGCTCTGCAGCCATTGTCATCAGTCTTTCATCTTCACTGAATAGGAGGGGGAGGTCATGTGACCGGATCGGAGCACCCTAAAAATAGGTAAAGTATGGAGATCTTTCCTTTACAGGGTAGTTAGGATAAGGTCAGAATGGGGGTGGGAGCAGGTTTAAGAATAGTTAGCATTTGAATGGAGTTCTACTTTAAATTCTAAATTTTCTTTTGTCGTGTGGTATTCCACAATTAAAAGACACAACTGACAAATGAATATTGTTAGGTCCAACTTCAGCCAAAAAATGGTTTTCACTGGAGTGGGAAAGAGTCAAAGTTGGTAAACTAGTAGACGTTTGCTCAACTCAGCTTACAGCAGAAAAAAAAAAAGATCATTTGGTCCATCAAGTCTGCCCCATTTCTTTAATTTTTTTTTTTTTACTTTTGTCTTAATAGAGATCTTTGTTTATCCCAAGCATGTTTAAATCCACTTACCATTGACTGACTCACTACTTCTACTGGAAGTCTATTTCAAGCATCAACTACCCTTCCAGTAAAATAATACTTTATAAGATTTGTTTTGAACTTTCCTCCTCCTAAGTCATGTCCCCGTGTTTTTGATCATTGCTTCATATTGAAAATGCTGCCCTCTTGAACCTTACTCACCGCCTTGATGTATTTAAAAGTTTAATTCATGTCTCCCATTTCCTTTCTTTTCTCCATACAGTAGATATTAAGTTCCTGAAGTCTCTCCTGATGTGTTTTATCCCCCAGACCTTTCACAATTTTTGATGCCTGTTTCTGGACTCATTCTATCTTATCAATTTCTTTTTGTAAGTGAGGTCTCCAAAACTGGACACAGTATGCTAAACAATGTCTAACTAAAAGATCTCCATATTGGTATCAGGACTTCTTTCCTCCTGCTGGTGATCCATCTAGTGATATAAAGATCTCTATAGGGAAATCAGGACCTACTTCCTCCTGCTGGTGACCCCTCTAGTGATATAAAGATCTATCTCCTAGATTGTAAGCTCGAAAAAGCAGGGCCCTCAATCCCCTCATGTTTTGCATTGTATTGGTATTGTTCTGTCACATGTTCTGTCCCCCTCTGTAATGTACAGCACTGAGCAAACTATTGGCGCTTTATAAATACTGTATAATAATAATAATAATAATAATAATTTAGGGGAATCAGGACCGCCTTCCTCCTGCTGGTGACCCCTCTAGTGATATAAAGATCTATTTAGGGGAATCAGGACCGCCTTCCTCCTGCTGGTGACCCCTCTAGTGATATAAAGATCTATTTAGGGGAATCAGGACCGCCTTCCTCCTGCTGGTGACCCCTCTACTGATGCATATCAGAATTTTACTCTCGTGTATTCTATGGTCGTTCATTTTTCTGTTCATCAGTGGGGACAAATCTATGTTTATTTTCAACCTCAGTGAAGGGCAAATTCAAAGAAGGAAGATGGAAATTTTTTATTGAATGTGCAAAGTTCTGACAGAGTATGTGGTATTCGATTGGTAAAGTCCATTGATTCCAAAATCAAATGTTAAAAGCAAATAAAATCTTGAACTACTTCTGAAGATAATTTGAATGTGCCGAAAATTTTCATTTAAAATTCTACCCAGCTTTTGGAATATTTCCCCTCACTTCCAGTCCTAAAAACTCTACGGTGTAAGCGGGAATGGGTCTCACCAGGACAGGAAGACATAGAGAGCAAAGAAAACCTGCTCTAGCCATTTCCGGCAAAAAATAAATAACTGTACGTTTGTTGCTCTGTCCCCAACAGGAAGATATCTCATTATTTCCAGTCCTGGTGAAAGCTTAACATCAGGACAGGAAATTAGGGTAAATCTGCCTAATAGAACACAGACCCAGGGGTGGACTGACAACTCATGGGGCCCCCAGGCAATAGGGGATCATGGGGCCCCTGTGTCCTTGCCCACACTCAAACCACACCCAAAAAAGCCTATGAAAGGTACCAGGGGCATCTCATGGGGCCCCTTACTGACCCCGGGCCCTCGGGCAGTGCCCGAGTTTCCGAATGGTCAATTGAAGAACCACCATCAAGACCACATGGGTATGATTTACATGCAAACACTAATTATCAATACCCAGGACAGCCAAAAGCCTTCATATACAAAATTCTTTGTTATCAAAAAGTTGTATGCAGCAAGGAATAGACACCAGAGAAAGAATTGCATTATCCTTACCATCTGTTATTTTAACATAAAGTCTCTTATTCAGTTCCTCAGCTTTATTCTTCATAGTGAACAAAACACAAGAAAAAAAAAAAAAACACATCCATGTTATTAAAACTGAATGCTGACATGAAATAATGTTTTAACACATTAAAAGATACATTTTAATTAGATCCATGAGGCCTGTTGTCAGGCAACTAAGTTCTCTAGGTTTTTGATGGATTTGAATACTGTAGATTTGTGTATACAGTATATATACAGTTTTAATACCCCAATATTACTCTGGAATAAGCAGCTTTAATACATCACAGAAGATCAATTCCTAAGCTGTTGGAATTCACTGACCTGGAACAATTATAAAGACCTAATGCAACTTTCCAGCAATTTTATCTACTCTCTGTCAAACTAAAATATAAAATACCGAATGATTGAAATTGGATTTTTTTTTTTTTTTTAAACAAGAATTTGGAAATTATTGACTTTGATCTTTTGCAAATAAAAATCAAAATTGTGTCAAACAAACTTGGCAGAAAAAAATGTAATAGATTTTTTCTTTTGGTTTGGTTGATTTAAAGCGTTGTTCCAGCTGAGAAAAAAAAAGTCAGCAGCTACAAAAACTGTAGCTGCTGACTTTTAAAATTACAGACTCTTACCTGTCCCTCGGTCCAGCGGTATCCACGCCTGGCATCTTCAGTGTGGGCACCTGGCTGTGACAGCTCGCAGCTTCAAAGCCAGGTGTCCACTGTGCATGCGCGAGAAGCTCTGAGCTTTGTGAATGGCCCTGTAGTCTTTAGGGACCTGTCATTTGTCCCAGAAGACTACGGGGAGGGGGGGAATGGACAACTTCCACTTCCAATTGCCTAGGCAATCACAGCAGAAGTGTGAGCGGGTACCTGTCAAATTCGGCTACCCGTTCCCCCTCCCTGCTCCCCAAAGGTGCCAATCCTTTATGGGCAGCGGGGGACAAAGGCTTAAAGTGGAACGTCCCCTTTTGCATGGAGCTCCTCTTTAAATAACCTTTATGGAAGCGGTTCATTTATAGCCCAGTTTGATCTATTGAATGCAGATGGACTATCAAACTTGTCGGTGGTAGATTTCTTGGTTTCCGACAACCACTTTTAATTTTATGTGTAAATCCTGGTCAGAAGTAGTTAACATTTAAAGTTGCTACATGGATGGCTAGGATAAAGTGTACGTCAAGCCAGAAATGTTTTCCTAGTTTTGGATAGAGATGGAAAGGATTCTAACTTCTGTCAGGATTTTACTGCTGTCATTTCCTTAGAGAACTTTAACCTTACTTCCTGTTCTGCTGGCAACTGATTACCAGACAGGAAATTAGACAAAATCTGTTAAAAAGGACACAGATAGAAATAAAATCTAACGGGGGTTCCAACTTTCCCCTTCTCTGTTAAAGAAAAGAAGCATTTTTATTTTTGTCTGTGACCCCACCGCAGATATTTCCTCACGGTCTGTTTGGCAAAACATTATCAGGTTAAAAGGAAGTGAGATTTAGCTGGACATTTCAATGTTTCTGACTACATTTGTGCTGAAAGAAAGTAACTTAAAAATCATGGCTACAAAGGATAAAGCCATGCGCGTAGATAAAGGACTTGTAGAGGGCCTCTAAAGAACAACTCAGGAATGGCAGCTTTCATTTTTTTACCTCAATAGATTCCCTTTAAATGCTTTACACTTATTTGCTAAACCTCAGCCTCCATAGTTACACCTATGAATAGTGGGACATAAATCAAGGATTATTTTACCTGAACGTCACATGAACATCCTAGCTCTTCATTCACAGTGGATGGGGAGACAACAACTGGCACTGGTTTGGAGACTTCATCTGGCAAGGCTGGCTTGTGAGTTGCCACTTTTAGGAGGTGATTTAAACTTCCGTGAGTTCCATTGTTAGGGGCAGGTTTTAATCCAAGAAGGTCTAAACATCCAGAACACAAAAGATGACTAGACTTTATGTTAGGAGAGCATTATGAAGCTTTAGAAAAGAGACAAAGTGTATGTATGTATGTATTGCAAAAACTGGTATTCTCTTAGTTAAATTCAAACTATTTTTGAAGGTTTACGAAAGTGTATGTATGTATGTATGGCAAAAACTTGTATTCTTTAAGTTAAAATCAAACTATTTTTTGGTTTTGGTGTCCTGTGGGAGATTTTTAAAAGAGGAAATCACTAAAAATGTAAGGGAATTCCTCTCTTAGATAGTTCATCAGAACAAATGTCACCAAAGCAAGAGGGTAAATCTTACAGTGGGGATAACTCTAATTTAGGATTCTTGATTACTTTCTTTTTTGGCAACAACTATCACTGGAACAAAGGGGGAAGATGCATCTACCTTGAGGGGACAGAGACATCAATAAAACATGACAAGGGATTGCCATCATCCATACGGTTTAAAAAACAAAGTGTTACTAAACCCACAGCAGTAAAATCAGTCTGTATATGCAGTAAAGCATGCTTGTTATACTCACTGTGAAACCTAAGGGGTTAATCTTCTGCATTGTGTAAAAAGGCTGTTTGATCTTGTCTCATCTGATTCTCCCCTTTTTCTACTGTCCCTAATCCATCTGATATAGTTAGGGCAGCAGGGGCAAGTCTGCACATGCTCTCTTTAGTGTGTATTGCAAGAGAGCTTTTTTTTTTTGGGAGGGTGCATGTGATCAATACAGGGCTAATCAGCACTGTCCAGACAGTTTATGCAGGCTCAGAAGACAGACAGAGGAGAATGAAACCACCTCCTACAAGATTAACCAGCGCTCAGCCAGACACTGATAGAAGTCACAAGACTGCTATATAGTGCCGATGAGAAAAGGTATTTAGCAGTTTAGATTTACTACAATAATTGCATTTCCATGTTCTATGAGCTGTGGGAGACCAAGTATAGTGAATGCAGGGCCATGGGTTTAGTAATACTTTAAAAAACGTTTTGACTATACATACACTTTAATAATTAAAGGGCTTGATTCCAAGAAGAGGGTAAGGAATGTCAGGTTATGTCTGAAGGACTTCAACACTAAACCATTCATAATTAAAGGGTCAGCCCACCTACAACTGATATACATATTTCCATTTTTGGTAGATGGAGAGTTAAAGGGTTAATTTAACCTTGAAAAAAATTACCATCATTTTGGCCCAGTAGGTAAAGAAAAACTATGCAGTTTTTAAAAATGTTGCTTAATATAATTTCCATACCTGTAGGCCATTCGCAGCCTCCCTTCCCCAGAGAGAGTGACCAAAAAACTATTATAGATCGTGTCCTAACAACAGGACAAGACAAAGCAAAGCTAACTGTTGGATGCTAGCCCCCAGCATCAGAGGAGTGGGCATTCACCTTGTTTCATACCCTGCACATGCACAGTATGCTCTTGTCCTCTCTCTCTCTTGCAGCAAGGTGGACTCAAGACTCTCAGGTGGACAGACACACTCAGAAATATCATCATGGAGATCTTGCTGCTGAAGCCCAACAGGGGCTGACCCAACCTCAAAGTCAATCCTTATTAAAGATTTTTTAAGTAACACGGTAATGGCACAAATATCCCCATACTATATTAAAAAGTCTAGTAAATTTACTTACCACACATGACATTGTATAACTCTATATTTTCAAATGGAGGTACTTTAGTCTTGTATTTGAATGTTGGTCCATATGCAACAAATACAGTCTTAAAAAGATAGAAATAATAGTAAAAAGCAATTCCCACATCTGTTTCAGTCTAACATTGGAGTAATTAACATCGGGTAGTTTAGGAGTTCCACAACATTTCTCTTTTAAATACCTGCATGCTGCTGAACTTGTTGTCATAGCCGTGATCTCCTTGGAAAACACATCCTTTGGTTGGCTTTTTATAGACATCTACAGGTTTTCTGTGTGGAGAGCACAACATTCTTAATACACTGGAATGTATGCTGTACATTAAAGCATCTAAAGCATGCAGGCAAGTTATTCATAACTGCTGACATCGCAGCTCTGAAAATAGTCAGCGCAGGGACTGTGTGGTTCTAAAGCCATTAGTTTCAGACACCCATAAGGCAAGTAGAGTACAAAGTTCAAATGTCAAGCTGGTCAGCCCATTGTAGTTACCACAAGACCATAAACCGCACTGCAGATTCAACAAATTCATATAATTCATTGTATTTTTATGTATTTTCTTTAGGTAATTACCTTGCTACATGCCATTTCCTGTCAACCAACAGATGAATATCTTCTATCCTTCTGTTATTGGCATAGTGCAGTCTCTTTGGAAGGTGTTGCTTCAGGTAAGGTTTGAAGTGCTGATCTGGTTTTTTACACTGCCAAATAAGAATTGCACTCATGGGAAACAATATAAACAATCAAATTAAAACAAAACACCTGTCAATGGTAAATGCTTTGTCTCAACCCTCGAATGATCATTTTTGCTGAACAGCTTGGTATGAGGAAGTTGAAAAATAACAGACATACTGGCAGGATCACCAGGTAATACAAATATATTATAAAGGGATTCAGAAAAAAAAAATTGTGTTAATGCTAGTGACATACTGCATCATGTATATAATTTTTAATTTTGCTCATGGTTCCAAGAAATGGGCCTTGTGCAATCCTGAAATTTTGCTGAGTGGACAGTGTGCTGAGATTTTCTGCATGCTTATATTACAAAAGGCAGATTTGTGTTAAACCCCCCAATCAGTCTTATTTTTGCTGCCCTATTGGGGAGATTTCCTTTCACTTCCTCTAATAGAAATGTAATAGGGCATGAGGGAATACAAAGTAAGGGTCTCTATATATATGGATTAAAATTCCCTTCTAGGCCAGCCAAATTTTAATCACTGTGTGCTCCCCCTGCTCAACAGAACTCAGCTGTTCAATCATCTTCTGTTAAAGGGACATGTTGGAAACGTTTTCATCCATCAGTGGCTGTAGCCAACTGGGTGCCTCTGTCAGAATACAATGTCCTGTACCTATACTGCATGCAGGTAAACTGGGACTGTCTAAGTGCACCGACACTCTTAAAAGGGCCCCAATGATAGCCAGCAGAAATGCATCTCAAAGAACTACCCCTCTCATAATAATTATTCCTGCTCCCTTTGCTACCATCCTCCTTTTCTTTTGGACAGTACATACCCAGTCGGTCTAGGCCTAGCATTGCTGCCATAAATATTCTCTGGCAGTATGGTGCCAGCATGCTGTAGATTAAACTTTACTATTACCCAATGCTGCACTTGAGGTGGCTTTGCTACAGTTTATGCTGGTCAGGGTGCTAAATGTCATTGTATGCCTAGTCCTTACTCTTGATTCACTTTGTATGCTTAATTGTATTATTACCATTGTTAATCCATTTTATGCTCGTCTAGTTACCAACCATATTGGGTAACAATATATTAAGTTTGCCTTTACTACCTGGTCTGGTGCCTATTTTCTTTGACATAGCACTACTATTGGGTACCATGCATTACTTTCAGTGATTGCCTGTGATATTGTAAGTCTGTACACTCAACCTGGTGTGTCAGAGGGGCTGAGGTTCTTGAGGAGGTTGAGGCAAAGAACAGAGGACCCATCCTATCCAGCAGCCCCTACATGGGTAGAGCTACATGTAGATTGAGTAATATGCTAATTGATAAGAAACTAACACTCTATGGTCAACTTAAGGGGGGCAACTTAGATGTAATCGGAACAGGGGTCCCTACTGAAAGATTTACCCTTACATCTTGTTCTGGTAACAACTAAAATTTTGGATTCTCCATCACTTTTGGCTATACATGCACCTTAGTGCTTTTAGAAAACATCTTCCTCTATTATTTTTACACCTGCAGTCACTTAACATTTCTCATGTCCCTCTGTAGGCATTTTCCTTGATTTTTTATCTTTACACTTTTACCCATAATCCAGTTTATTAAATTCAATGCTTACCGTAAGATTTGCAACAACTACTTTAGGATCATCTAGAATAAAAAAAGAAAAAGAAAGAAATACACACTGAATAAAAAAATAAACAGGATAAAAAAAAAAAAAAAAAAAAAAGACAAAAAAGACAAAAAAAAAAAAAAGACAAAAAAAAGACGATTTTTCTACTATTATAAAGTAAAGTTGACTTAAGCACCAACATGCTTTTCTCTTTCATGTAACATTCTGTCCTTTCAATCTGTATTCTATTTACGTACAAAAAAAGATACAGCTGAACTCCAGAAAGATATACAGTTGCAAGAAAAAGTATGTGAACCCCTTGGGATTACGTGGAGTTTTGCATGAATTGGGCATAAAATGTGCTCTGAACGTCATCTAAGTCACAACAATAGAAGAACACAGTCTGCTGAACATAATACTACACAAACATTAGATGTTGCCATGGTTTAATTGCACATAACATGTAAACATTCACAGTGCAAGGAGAAAAAATATGTGAACCTTTGGACTTGATAACTGGTTGACCCTCCTTTGGCAGCAATAACCTCAACCAAACATTTCCTGTAGTTGCAGATCAGACCTGCACAATGATCTGGAGTAATTTTGGACCACTCCTCTTCACAAAACTGTTTCAGTGTAGCAATATTTTTGGGATGTCTGGTGTGAATCGCTCTCTTAAGGTCATGCCACAGCATTTCAATCGGGTTGAGGTCAGGACTCTGACTGGGCCACTCCAGAAGGCATATTCTGTGCTGTTGCAGCCATTGTTTTGTTGAATTACTTGTATGCTTTTGGTCATTGTCCTGTTGCATCACCCATCCTCTGCGGAGCTTCAGTTGGTGGACAGATGGTCGTACGTTTTCCTGCAAAATGTCTTGATAAACTCTGGAATTCATTTTCCCATCAATGACAACAATCCGCCCAGGCCCTGAGGCAGCAAAGCAGCCCCAAACCATGATGCTCCCTTTGCCATGTTTTACAGTGGGGATGAGGTTTTGATGTTGGTGTGCTGTGCCTTTTTTTCTCCACACATAGTGTTGTGTGTTCTTCCCAAACAACTCAATCTTGGTTTCATCTGTCCACAGTATATTCTGCCAGTAGTGCTGTGGAACATCCAGGTGCTCTTTTGCAAACTTCAAACGTGCTGCAATATTCTTTTTGTACAGCAATGGCTTCCTCCGTGGTGTCCTCCCATGTACTCCATTCTCGTTTAATGTTTTCCTTATTGTAGATGTGTCAACAAAAATGTTAGCATGTGCCAGAGATTTCTGTAGGTCTTTAGCTGACACTCTGGGATTCTTCTTTACCTCATGCAGCATTCTGCGCTGTGCTCTTGCAGTCATTTTTACAGGACGACCACGCCTAGGGAGAGTAGCAACAGTGCTAAACTTTTTCCATTTGTAGACAGTCTGTCTTACCGTGGACACATGAACATCAAGGCTTTTGGAGATACTTTTGTAACCCTTTCCAGCTTCATGCAAGTCAACAATTCTTGACCGTAGGTCTTCTGAGAGCTCTTTTCTGCGAGGCATGGTTCACATCAGACAGTGCTTCTTGAAACCAGTAAACCCAAAACAGGTGTGTGTTTTTTAAGGGCAGGACAGCTGTCAGCAACACATCCAATGTCATCACACTGATTGGAGTCAAGGTTGGCTCACTCCTGGCTCCAATTATCTCTGGGAGAAGTCATTAAGCTAGGGCCTCACATACTTTTTCCTCCCTGCACTGTGAATGTTTACATGTTATTGTGCAATTAAACCATGGCAACATCTAATGTTTGTGTAGTATTATGTTCAGCAGACTGTGTTCTTCTATTGTTGTGACTTAGATGACGTTCAGAGCACATTTTATGCCCAGTTCATGCAAAACTCCATGTAATCCCAAGGGGTTCACATACTTTTTCTTGCAACTGTAAAAGACATAAATTAATGCAGCTCTGTAACCATTAAAATTATCCTGAAAAGATTCAAGCAGTCTAGAATTTAACTCGGTATCATACTCTTGCAGTGCCTGTACAGCAGAGCTCAGACTGGGGGTAATAGAAGCAACAAAAAACACCAATCGGTTGTTCTGCAGTGCAAGATGGGAGAGCAGAATTATTGAGGGATGAACTAATCAATGTGCTATAGACAAGGAGCAGACCTGTTAATGTATTGAACTGCAGCTAAGAAAAAAAAATCAGGTCTTCTGGACTGCCAGATATGGCTGTGCTGTGTAATAGGGTTGTGTTAATCTCAGAACTGCATGAAAAGAAATACAGTTTCTTTGAAGGGTAAAATAGTTTCCTTATATGTATTTAATCTGTTTATTTAAAATTCAGCAACAAAAGGATTAGGGTCCTGGAGTTTACAATACTTGACTTTTTTAAAGTATTTAAAGTTGAAAGTTTTTTTGTTTTGGTTAGAATATGGAATGGGTAAACCCCTTTGCCTAGAAAGAAAGGGAAAAATCTCTCTTTAGGTTTTACCCTCTTTTCCTTTCCCGATGATTACTTAAAATTCTGGATTTTCCTACGTCTTCAATCCCAGCGACAATGGCCAGCAGAGCAAACAGTGGAGTGGGGGGTAAATGCTCCCAGTGGGGACACAAATAGAAATGAACACTGGACCCCCAAGGTTCTAAACCTTCCCTACTCTATCCAAAACAAGTTTTGACTTAAGATACTTAAAAGCCTATGCCTAACAATAGGCGGCTCTATGTTCCGGCAGCAATACAAGGACTTCCCGTGCTATTGCTGGAACAAAATGGAGTTGGGTGAGTGCTGCACATTCATTCACAAGCTTTGTATTTTTATGAATGAATACAAGGCTTCTTCTGATTGGTTGAGCTGAAGAGGTGGGCGGATGACCTTATGATCTCCACCTTCGCCATTCAGAGGAAGCATTATATAGCACCCTCCTAGAATGATGGCTAGAAAGGTTCAGGTAAAGTATGTTATTATGTAATCATTGGAGAGGTGTGTGATTATTTTTGGCTGTTCTGGGTCTCACTGGCTGCAGGCTCCTCTTTTTCGCCTTGCCTTCTAGTGGATTCTAGAATGTAGTGGGTTGGAAGAGGCAGAACCTGGGCCTGAATGTTCATTTGGTCTTAGCCAATCCCTGGAGGAGATGGTGCCCAGTAGGTGGCTGAGGAGTACAAAAACAGCCTGGTGCCTAGAGCAGCAGGCTTCTTGTCCAGGAGAAGACCCCAGCCTGGAGGGCCATTGACCTACTGGGCAGTAGCTGAAGTCTCTAAGGAATTCTTTGAGGTCCCAACGCTGGAGCCAATTTAAAGGGGGTTCAGTGAGGATCTGGCCTGGTAGCACATAGGAAAAATGCATGGATGATATTGGAAGGAGACATCCAAGTATACAGGGACAATGCGAGTATAGTCCTGAGCGTAGGATCCTAGTGATTGTTTGCTGCTTTAACCCTATGTGTATCTGATCCAGTGTTGCTGAATTGGGACTGTTTCTGCGCTTGGAGTCCCTAAGTTGCTTGTTCTCCTATTGTTTGCCAAGAGGGGAATTATCCTGATGAATGTAGACAAGGCAATGAGTGTCCTCTGTAACTTTGTGCACTAAATTTTGAGAACCCCAAAGTTCACCTTGCACCCTTAGCAAGTTCAACGACCATTACATCATAAAAAGACATTCCCTGCCTGGTTAGTGAGTTGCGAGACTGTCTGTGTTGTGTGCCTGGCTGCCTTTATACCCATTTGTTAGGAGAACCCGGGACAAATCTATGGGCCCATCAGGGGTCTGAACTACACTTGTATTCCATGAGAAAAGGCTTCCTGTAAATGACTGAGAAGCACTCAGCCCAACCTGATTTTGCTTTGGGAATGGGACAAGAAGTCCCCATTCCACTGCCAGAACACAGGGCTGCACTTCTTTGTAATCAAAATTGTTGGCCCAGAAGAACTGTTTAAAGTAACACAAAACCTAGAGTTAGGCTTCTATAATTATCAACATCTCCGTGGCTCACAAGTAATTTTATAGTATTTTTTCTTTAGGCTTTAAAGGGAATTTATAGTATTTCATTTTATTACGATAAATATTAAATAGATAATTACGATAAATATCTAATAGCAAGTAATTAAAGTCTTTATTGTGTATTAATTGAATTTAAAACGCCTGGTTTCTCGGTATAATGTGTATGAGGCAACCAAAACTTGCCCATTACATACATCTGCTTTGCAGTGCTACTTCATGGTTGTGCTTTCCTGATTCATGTTAATAGCAAAGTCTTGGATTATGCACTTCAGCATTGTTGTCAAGTTAGGCATTTTTTGGGCAGATCACTATCAGTTTACAATGCAATGATTTGCTGTTCTGAAGGGATGGAGAGTCTTTAGTTCACATTTTGCATCAGGTGCCAGAAATGTGTACCCACAGCCCTCAAACAAGTGACATTTCTGTGACATGCCCGCAGCATAGAATCAATTCTGATGCATATAACCATTGCTGAAAGTAATTTGTGGCACAAGTTCACATTATTGTTTCCAGCATGATTCTATTTTCAATGCATTTGTTGAAGACGTTGTAATGCATTGAAAATGGAAGTTTTTACTTACCCCTATTCTCAATGTTTCTAGTACAGACATGACAGTACACACGCTTGTCTCTCTCATACACATCACCTTTATTGCCATAAGAATGAGTATTGTGTGTCCCCGATATTTTTTTCTTCTTTTTGTTTCCTATTGGATTAGGGCAACATTGACCTGGAAGAGGAAGTGCCTGCTTATATGATCTGCCTCTCCGGGATTGCAATCATTTCATGTTACTTCCAACGGAAGGTGTGTACTGTCATGAATCATAACAGGAATGCTGATTTTCCAACTGAAGCATTGCCAATACGCAGTAGCATAGGGACAGGAGAAGCAGATGTGTATGCAACTGGGCCTCTGATATTGGGGTAGTCAGTAGACCATATCTAGCCAAACCCAACTAACCTCTACATCGCCTTTTTTTAAGCAGTTAAATTGCTCCTCTGAAGAAGAGAGCATATATTGTGATAGGTAGAAGGGGTTATGGGTTTTAGGTACAGGAGGTAATGGATGATCTTAAAAGCTGTAAATGGAGTTTTAAAGGTTGGGTATTGTAAGTCTGAAGCAGTGGGCAAGCGACAAGAGCCCAGCTCATGTCCAGCACAAGAGCACATTAAAACTGCCAATATAGCACCAAAAAGCAGACTGTTCTTGCTTAACAATATTGAAAATATGCAACGCATTTAGCTTGTCAAGTTGTTAGTCACAAAAGGATTAGGCAACATTAAATCAGAATGTTATGTATCATAAGGATGTAGTGAAATAAAAGTATAGTGTTTAAACAAAGTTCATTCTAAAAGATTTAAAGATTATCTATTATCATTTTTACACTCCTTTCCCCTACGGAACAAAATACATGTAGTAGATAGTCCCATGTTTCTAAGTGCTTTCTAAACCTAAATATATGGTCTGACCTGTCCACTCTCCTTCTGCTGCTTGGCTGTTTTGACAACAGGTATGAAGGAGACAACGGATTCATAGCTATGGCTTGTCTCAGCTGTGAGCATTTCCCAAAACAAGCAACAGCAAGAGGAATGCAGAAGGAGGTGGGATTTGTCAGCTTCTGCATTCTTCTTGCCATTGCTTATTTCAGGAGAGTGCTTACAGCCAAGACAACCTGCAGCTATATCAGTTGTCTCTGTCATAGCTGTCGGATTGATTACAGCAGGCGGGGAGGGGGCAGGTTGGACCTTATAACTAGGGTTACAAAGCACCTAGAAACATGGGACGAAGTACTACATTTACTTTGATCCATAGAGGACAGAACTGTAAAACGATTGTAATGATAGATCTAGTACAGTGGCTAATGTTTTAATGTATTTATAAAAGTTGATGTCTTATGTTCTTGTAATGCTCCACCCATTGAAAGCTAATGTATACAAACCGACAGAATGACGTGTAATGATTTCAGACCTCATAAAAGGGTACACAGAAATATTGGGGCTTCTATAAAAGGGAGTCAATGCAGCACACACACACACAACTATTCTACAATAGCGAATACGAATCCATGGAAAATAAAGTTCAATGCTCGATTCAGTATTGTTGATGTAAAATAGAAAGATGCGATACACGTTGGATTTTGATGTATAATAAATTATGTTTTTACAAATAGGTTGTGCCTCAAAAGTCCCCATTTTCAGGTTGTTTTTCAGTTTAAAATATACAGTATTAGGGATGTGGCACATATATATATTTTAACATTGTTATAATGCTTTGTGGTTAAATTCTTGGATTTACCCAATTCAACTGCAATTAAATCCATAATTTTAGTTCAAAACATTCAGGGCCTTTTATACCACTCATGAAACCCAGTGGTAAGATCTCCTAACTAGACTTTCCAGAACTTACTATCCCACCAGAAACAAATCACTGGCAGGTAGGTAGAGTTGGGCTAGTGTTAACATAGATCTATAAATAGATCTAGATCTTTAGATCTCTAAAGTTTATTAAACTTTAAAAGGGGGGCAGTAGAATTTTCTACCCTCAAATATCCACCCAATACTGAAATATCCCTGTAGGGGTATGATAGTTGTAACTGCTAATTGAAAGCAATAACCACCATATATCTGAAGAAGCCACCTGAATGAGTGGTAATATATTTCCAAGAATAGTCCAGTTTTGTTTTTAATTACACTTTATCAGCCTGGATCAATGAGCCTTGGGCTTGTGTCTATGGCATCAGTTTTATATTATGATGCTTCTGACACCATTCTGAATTAACTGACAGCTGCTTTGATCTGTAGTTGACATATTTCGGGCATGCACTTGACCTTCTTCAAGCAGGTTTGCATCTCATAGACTAGTATGGGAATGCAAAAGCAATGTGAAGTAAACCCAAAGCTTCTAACACCCTTAATCTGCTCTCTTTTTCTTTGGGGGGGGGGGGGGGGGATTCGATACTTTATAGAGTTGTAACAGATTAAACTGGAGGAATGTGTATGGGAAAAATATCTGTTGTAGCTGGTAACACATTTTAGAAAGTCATCAATCAGCACATTAAATATGCCTAAAGTTAAATTGTTGTTCTCTCTTATCTTGACCAAAATAGCAGTATTGATTGTTCGGAGATCACTGAACTCACGTTTAGGCAGACTGTTCTTAGTACGCAAACGTCCTAGAGAGCCAGGTAGGAAGATAAAATCATCCACATTGTTTAAATAGGAGTTCAAAAATTCAGTCCTCTCACAAGTTGCTTCTTCCATACCTGTGAACATAAACAGAAGTTAACATTACAGAAACTGTTTCTATAGTACAACAGAAAATAAGGCTAGGTTCACATCTGCATGGGTGATTGCACTGTGGGACTGCATCTGTTCCCGCAGCCACAACCACCTGCACAGAAAATCATGCTGGATGCTTGGGGGAGCCATTAATCCTAATGGCATCCCTACGCACTGAAAATCGCAGCAGCCGCTTCCTGCACGGAGAGCCGTACTGCACTTACAATTCCCATGCGGGCTGCGATTACAAAAATAGACAAAGTCATACAGCACATTTTGTTAGGATGCAGCCACATCTTAGAGTAGGAAAGCATGTCCTCAAGCTACATGGGTGATTGCTGCTGCGGAACTGCACCTGTTACCGTGGCTGCAACGCGCTGCACAGAAAAATGAGCTGCTGCCCAGGAGATGTTTGGGGGTACCAATAATCCTAGTGGCACCTCCACCACTGGATTCCTGCACTGCACTTGTGGTTTCCATGTGGGCAGAGTTTTTAAAAATGGTGCAGAGACATTTCCTGGCATTTTCAGGAGATCCACACAAATGTGAACTTAACCTAAAAGGAAATCTAAAAGACTACTACACACTGAGTTGTATATTTAACCAGAACAGCATTGAAAAAAAAAAAAAAAAAAAAAAAGAAGGTTGTCATTATAAATGCCCTGCTTTCTGCTTAGCAGCAAAATAATTGTGCTATTCCAAGCCCCATATGTCGGTGCAAACAGATGGTCCAAGCTCTGTCAGACTTTTACAGAACATACTACATTCATAGGTTGGATTAAACCATACTTGATGTCCTTGCAGCAGCCATTTAGCAAGGATATCCTGTGCTTTGGATGGGAGTGAGTGGCGAGCTGTCATTATAATAAACCTTGGTTCGATTGGACAATCTTTGGTGGACATAAATATTTTACATGATTAGTTTGCACATGTTTTATTAGGACCTTTTGGAGAAAACAAATAAGCGGAGCTGGTTTAGAGTAAATAGATTGTTCTGATATTACCCTGGTGTCACTTGTATTGGGATGTAGAAATATAAGGTTTATACTATATTTAGCCTAGCTTCAAGATGTGCCTTCTCAGAAAAATAAACTCTGCCAAAGAATCTTCTCCCATCACACGTACATGTTCAGCTCATCCGAAAATTAAACAAAACAATTGTATTTGGCCTGTACAGTTTGTTCTAGTTGAAGAGGTCCGAAAAAGAAACCAATGGCTTCCAAAAAAACAAAGTTCATAGTTCAATAAACTGTCTGAATTAATCCAGCTTGAAATTTTGGATTAAAAGGGGAAAAAAAAAAAAAAAAAGTCTTTTAATTAAACATCAAAATGTAATCAAAGCAAAGCTCTGACAGACGTGGAATTTCAAAGCTATTTATCGCCCCAGCTGGATAAACCTAGGCGCTGCTGGAAGCCAGCATCCTTAACCTTGGAACGTACAATTACTGAATTCATGTCACCTGAGCCAAGAAAACTCAACAATACCAAGGCTGGATTGGCAAGTAAGGACATGTGCTGTGGACTTCAAACCATCTGATGGATTAAGCGCATATGATCTGATTAACAGGACATATTGTACCCAAAAAAAAAAAAAAAATCATAACACAAGTGTAAAAGTTTTAAAGCTGAACTCCAGGCAAATGAATGTCAGCTTGGCTCCTGTACAGCAAAGCTTAGAGAGAAGAAGCAACACAAGTAGCCAATCAGTTGTGCTGCAGTGCAAGAAGCATGCTGATATGAGACGAGAGCAGAGTGGCATAGAAATGAACTCATCAGTGTGCTGTTGCTTCTTTCACTGCCTAGTCATATGGTGGGGTGGGAAGAAGACCTGTACATGAAAGTAAAACCGCAGCAGAGAAAGATCAGGTCCTCTCCCCAGCCATGCAGGGCTGTGCTTTGTGGCAAGGCTGTGCTTTGTGGCAAAGCTGTGTAAACCTCAGAACTGGATAAATTGGTAGAAGTATAAATATTCTGGCAGGAAAAGTTCTCACATACAAACGTTATCTGTGTATTTAATGATTTGTCTGGATTTTAGCTTTAAGGAATTTAACACTGTTAATCAAGAGTAAGGGCTGTCCTTACGTGCATCAGCCCTTGCTGCGTTTTGACAGCCCTCCTTAATGCGTGCTTGAAATCTAAAAAGACTGAACTACACTCCTGCATTGCTTGCAGTTACAGGACAGTTGTGGCTGGGTCTCAGACACTTAAATGGGTCACAGCCAGTAGCAGTACTGCCTGCTGAATGCTTTTTGCTGGAGCTGCAAAGCATTGTGGCTGGGGCATGTGTACACCCATTAGGGGCCACATGTTCATCTTTAGTCAGAGGGCAAAAAAAAAAAAATGCAGCTCAACTGCCTGCTTTTACCGCTCCCTGGCATCCCATGTGAATGAGCTCTAAAGCTGTACTCCAGGCACATACTGAATGCAGTCAGGTATATTAAAAAAAAAAAAAAGAAGAAATCTTTAGAAATTTTTAATGCAACTGGTGTCAGTAATTACACTCATTTTTACAGCAGCCCTGAGACTGAAAGAGGGAGGGGCAGTACATGGATCCAATCAGGTATTCTGCTAAAAAGGAACATGCTGACTGAAGGACAGAGCAGAGAGATATCAGTCTAGTTCTACTCCTTCCCCATCCAATCACAGGCTGGGGGTGTGGTGGGGATGTGACCCAGCTATGTTCCTTCGCTGCAACAGAAAAAAATCAGGCTACCAGGCTGGCTGTGCTGAATACTAATTGTTCAGCAGCATAGATGTCTCCTATATATGTTTTTCAACTGTGTATTTAGTTTTCTACCTGGAGCTCAGCTTTAACGTGTTGTTTTTAATCTGGTGGGATATTAAGGTAGAGACAGAGCAAGCAGACAGAATAAAATATCTAATGATTTTATAATAAAATGAAAGATTTACCGTGATCTCCCCACGAAGATAATATTGACACATCGATGTAGCTTCATTTGTTTTAGACCATCCATTAACATTCCAACAATGATATCGATTTCCTTGAGTTGACTGGTCAACTGAAAAAGGAATGGACATGACTGAGACTGTTGAAATTGCTAGTTGCCCAGCTCTTATCCTGACCCTCTGCTTTCAGTTAAAAGAAAGTCATACAAAATGCAATTAATAAATCTGCACCAACCTCACTGCTAAATGGTCCATATTTGTGTCCTGTCTGATCAGGCTGTTCGGAATAAAGTGCATAGACATAAGGCCTAAAGGGGATGACAGATAAAAGCAATTAGGTTTGCAGAGACTTAGGTGGTTTTAGGGAAGGTACATTCCAAGGCAACAATTAGATCAAAATGTCTAAATCTATAGCAATGGTCAATGGAACCTGTTATTAACTTGAAGGACAATTCATCTTGTACATGAGTTTTGTTTTAGCATTCATAGAGGCAAGTATACCCAAGGAGAGACATAATCCACTAGCATTGTTAGCTGGAACATATGATACCATTGAACTTCTTAGTGAGACCATTGGGTCTGGTTATATCATGGACAAGGGAAAGGGCTGATAAGAATCATTAGCTACCGTTAGAGTGACTAATAGGGTGGCTGGCAATATTTGACTACACAAAGGGGGAGATTTACTAAAATTGGAGCACTCAGAATCTGGTGCAGCTGTGCATAGTAACCAGATTCTAACTTCAGGTTGTTCAATTAAAGTGATTCTAAAGGCTCCAGGTTTTTTACCTTCATGTATTCTATGTATGAAGGTAAAAAATCTTCTGTATGTATCAACCCCCCCTAACACTTACCTGAGCCCCATCCTAATCCAGCAATGTCCATGAGAACCTCAGTTCTCTGGGGACTCTCCCTCCTGATTGGCTGAGGCAGCAGTGGGAGCCATCGGCACCTGCCTCTGTCAATCACAGCCAGTGAGCCGATCAGGAGAGGGAAAGGACGGGGCTGAGCTGCAGCTCTGCGTGTGAATGGACACACAGAGCCACAGCTCGGGAGTGCACCTGCTAGGGTATACCTATAGCAAGCTGCTTGCTGTGGAGGCACCCAACAAGAGGACCAGGAGCGCTGGCGGGAGACCTGAGAGAGAGGAGAGGATCTGGGCTGCTCTGTGTAAACCGACTGCACACAGCAGGTAAGTATAACATATTTGCTATTTAAAAAAAAAAAAACTAAGACTTTAGTATCACTTTAAGCTTTGGCAATAAAAAAATTGGAAGCCGATTAGTTTCTATGCAGAGTTGCACCAGATTTTGCACTCTCCAGTTTTAGTAAATAACCCCAGAATTGTCCTTGATCTATTAAATATCCAAATAAGCTGGAAGAGCTTCATCTTGAGATGTAATGCTTGAAATTTGGGATATTTCTTTCCTATTATAGCCAAACATAGGTTTAGTCCAAGCGTTATAAAAAAAAAATGTGCATAAACAATTTTGATATTTGCCATAAGGATTATCCCTCTGAAGCCAATATTATGGAACCTGCAGATGTATGATTTCAGTTGTTTGCATTTCAAATACTTAACTTCAAAATGTGGATGTGATACGATTCACTTTTCTAACCCAATGGATGATATTTTTCAAATGTTTAACATCTTAATTTTACAAAATCTCATTTACATAGCAAAGCTATGAGAAATAGAGATTTTGTAAATTTAAGATGTTAAACATTTGAAAAATATCATCCATTGGGTTAGATATTCAGAAAAGTGAACACATTTTTAAGTTTGCAGAAAAAGATAAAACAGTTTAAATAAAAAAAACAAAAAACAAAATTAGACCAAAACATATCTATACATTTTTCAGATACCTTTCATTGTCAGGCAAGTGCAGCCACTGAAGAACTGTTAATACTCTCCGCTGATAAGGTATAGTCCTGTAAAATATGTGACCAAATGTAATGTAACAAATGCAGAAAGAAATATACATACACAAATAAATACAAGGGTCTGGAAAGGCACATTGAACAATCTAATGACCCAGTGTGACTGATACATAGGCCATGGCCTTGGGCAGCAGCACAAAGCCACCCACAAATCGTGTGACTGACTGTCAGGATCACATTCCCGTGCACAGTAAAGATCACGTTTTTCCCCCCTGCCTGCCAAGACATTTTGTTGTTTCTGCAGTTTGTGCATTTGCATTGGTGAAATAGTATACTGTGTATTCATATTTACCCACTCTAGGGAATACATCTAGAACCAAGGTGGTCAGTTCCCTACTTGTCTAGTCATCTGTTCTACAGGAAATGTACCAGGACAGTGAGGGCAAAATGTCTCTACGGGCTATGGTTTGTGTGTCTATAACAGCCTTTCCTAACCTGGAGTTTCATAGAACCTTTGGGTTCCTCCATGAGGTCGCCAGGGGTTTCTTTAGCAATGGGCAATTCTTGCCTCTCAGATAAATAACCACTGACACCAATGATCAATTTGTCAGTTTGGATTATACCTAATAACTACAGTATATAATATATACTAATTATAGGTATGTCTTCCCTGAGCCTGGAAACTCATTTCAAGGGTTCTTCCATGTTAAAAGGTTGAGAAAGGTCAACCTATAATGTCTGATATTTTTTAGCACGACAAGTCTAGCCAATTGACTTGGGCAGGAGGGGGTGGCATTTTGCCTGGGAGCACATCCCTGCACCCATCATTGGCTGGAAAACATGTAGCCCCATTGGCACACACAAAAAAAACTGAAGGTATCTTCTGTAATCATTAACTGCGCAATGGCTACATGGGATTTGCCCAGCCTTGTATATACAATATATGGCCAAGAATCTGTGGACACTTAATCATCACACATACCTACTGTATGTATATGGTTATAAGTATGTTGGTACACCTCCAAATTATTGGAGATCATGTGTTTCCAGTGAACGGTAATGTTAATGCTACAGCACATAAAGACAATGTAGACAGTTGCAAATGTCCAACCTTGTGATAATATTTTGAGAAAATTCTTATTCTGTTCCAGCATGAATGTACCCAAAGCCAACTCAAAAAAAGACATGGTTTGACCAATTTGATGTGGAGGAACTTGAGTGGCCAGCACAGAGCCCTGACCCTAATCCAAAGGAACACCTTTGGAAAGAATTGGAACTCTGATTTCAGGCCAAGACTTCTTGTCTAACAAGGAGTACCCGATTTCCCAAATGCTTTTAGGCTGAACAGACACAAATTCCCACAGACAGACTCCAAAATCTCAAAGAAATGGTTCCCAGAAGAGCAAAGGCTGTTAAAGCTGTAAGGGGGGGGGGGCATCTTCACATTAATCCCAATGGTGGGCTTTTATATCCAGTGACACCTTGGACTATTGAAATGATTTGGTATCAATTACAAGTAATAATCATAGTAAATGATTGTTATTGTCTGTTATGCACTTACACAGGCCAGAAGAATGTGGCTGCCTTCAACCCCTGTTTTTGAGCAGTAATCCAAAGCTGTAATGAAGAAAAGCATATGTGGATCTCAATTTTAGCTCAGATTCTTTACCACTAAAATATAACAGTTTCAAATATGTATATCGTTGGGTGGTAAAGTACAAAAGCGCCACAAATCTAAAAAATATGTAGGTATATATTGACTCTATTAAAGAATGAGAATGCTCAATATGAGAAATACTCTCTAACCAACATTAAAGTAATTAGGCATCAAAAACGTAAACCTCAAATTACAGATTTCCATACTACTTGAAAAAAAACGTAACAAATATTTAAAAAAAAAAAAAAAAAAACTAAAAAACTAAAAAAAGGGCACTTATAAGAATTCCAAGCTAAATGTAGTCAGATTTAAGAACTCAACACGCAGTAATCTGTGCACTTAATTACTTACCGGTTGCCCACCCCACCATCTGTGATTAAATTTCTCTCGTGACCGAAGGCTGAAGTTAGCATCAAAGACAGGATCATACATAGAGTTCCCAACAATCCCATGAGATTCTGGATAAAGACCCTAAAATAAAAAGACACAAAAACATTGCACCAGGTTAATCATTAGCACTGTTTCACAATATATTATAGTGAATGTGCACATACAAAGTGAAGACTTTGCTGTGTTATAGGAAACATCATGAAATAGCAGTGCACGTTCTGTGCCTAGGCACTCTGTTCTGTAGCCTCATAGCTGCAGTATGACATCATATAAGGCTTCTGATTGCTAGTCAAATCTAATTTGGAGTCATATTTGGTAATACCATTACTGTGCTACGCATTGTTATCCTTACTGGTGAGACAACTGTACCTGAGCATCTGCATTGCAAGATCTCCCGTTTTGGCTTCATTAATTTTATGCTTTCTCCACCTCTATTGCTAATTTGTAACTATTTTCCCACCAATCACCAGATCAACAGTCATCAGAAAATCAACCCTGACATGAAGAAGAAAACTGCTAACAAGGAGAGCTACCTCCACACGGAGGCGCACTGCAGAATAAGACATGGTAAAAGGAAAAAAAAAAAAAAAATAATAATAATAATCAGCTTCAGAAAACCTACAGACAATGCCTTTCTCCTCTGCCTGACTTTTATGGACACAGTCCCTAGAGTTCAGGTCCTTTTTATGCCATGAGTAACATGGCACAAGATGTTTGCATAAAATTACACAGCTATCAATATTGTATTATCCATCCATTCCATTTCCCCCCCATACACTTGTCAATAATGCATATATCACATGTAAATCCTTGCTACTGTAGCCACCATTTGCTACTGGAAAATCAGCAGTTTGGACACCCTTATTAGTTGGAACATCCAGCGTGATTGTAAAGTGTATCCAAACATTTAATACTGTATATTGCAGTTTACCACTTCTTAGATGCGGTAGCTGCGTTCTTTTCCTTTTTAAGGCTTTTTCTTCAAATTCCCCTCGTGATCCTACCAGTTACACATTTTGCTTCCTAAGGTAACACTCAAATTCACTTCATTGTATCAATGCAGGGAACCATGGCTGTCTTCATAGGACAGGACTACATAGACCTCCTCTAGTCTTCTTCTCCTTAATGTAGACAAAAAGGGTTCTGTAGTCCTTAGAGACAACCATGTAGCTGATTAGCATCAGCACACACAAAGGGCTTGAGAAAATTGTCAATAATCAAGATTTCTGGCAGAATCAACATTTTTTTTTGCATGCATCAAACATATGTACCAAAACACTAATATGAAATGGTATTTGATCTAATATGTGAAGTGCCCCATTTTTTCTCTGCTCATTCATTCCTTATTAAAAAAGTTTATAGTCTATACAATTACCGTTGCTAGTGTATACAAATTTGGGTATGTTTTTGTTGGATAAACAGGTCTCATATATGGGGCATGTGTTCCACAGGTTCCTATACAAAGAGGAAAATACAACACATGCTATATTACTACAATAAAATTACAATAGCGATAGAATAAAAAAAAAAAAAAAAAAAAACAATTATTTTCATTATAAACTAACAATTCTAATTAAAAATATGAATTTTTTTACTCCAGAATCTACATTTCCCCTACAACTTTGTGAAGTAGTTAAAATGTGTATAAGCATTTCCTATGTTGTTTACTGCTGCAAAGAAATTGGTCCTGTCCATTTAATGCAACTCCAACTGGCAATGCCAATATGATATGACCGCACGGTTTCAGCAATTACTTTTTTATTCAGCCATAGCAGCCCAAATACAGAATCTCACAGAAGTGAGTACACCCCCTCACATTTTTGCACACAGCCATTAATGTCTAAACCGCTGGCAACAAAAGTGAGTACATCCCTAAGTGAAAATGTCCAAATTTGGCCCAAAGTGTCAATATTTTGTGTGGCCACCATTATTTTCCAGCACTGCCTTAACCTTCTTGGGCATGGAGTTCACCAGAGCTTTACAGGTTGCCACTGGAGTCCTCTTCCACTCCTCCATGACAACATCACAGAGCTGGTGCATGTTAGAGACCTTGTGCTCCTCCACCTTCCATTTGAGGATGCCCCACAAATGCTCAATAGGGTTTAGGTCTGGAGACATGCTTGGCCAGATCCTCACCTTTACCCTCAGCTTCTTTAGCAAGGCAGTGGTTGTCTTGGCGATGTGTTTGGGATCGTTATGTTGGAATACTGCCCTGGGGACCAGTCTCCAAAGAGAGTGGATCATGCTCTGCTTCAGCATGTCACAGTACATGTTGGCATTCATGGTTCCCTCAATGAACTGTAGCTCCCCAGTGCAGGCAGTACTCATGCAGCCCCAGACCATGACACTCCCACCACCATTCTTGACTGTAGGCAAGACACACTTGTCTTTCTGCTCCTCATCTGGTTGCCGCCACACACGCTTGACATTTGAACCAAATAAGTTTATCTTGTCTCATCAGACCACAGGACAAGGTTCCAGTAATCCTTAGTCTGCTTGTCAGCAAACTGTTTGCTGGCTTTCTTGTGCATCATTTTAGAAGAGGCTTCCTTCTGGGACGAAAGCCATGCAGACCAATTTTGTGCAGTGTATGATCTTAGCACTGACAGGCTGACCCCCCCACCCCTTCAACCTCTGCAGCAATGCTGGCAGCACTCATACGTCTATTTCACAAAGACAACCTCTGGATATGATGCTGAACATGTGCACTTAACTTCTTTGGTCGACCATGGCGAGGCCTGTTCTGAGTGGAACCTGTCCTGATAAACCGCTGTATGGTCTTGGCCACCGTGCCTCAGCTCAGTTTCAGGGTCTTGGCAATCTTCTTATAGCCTAGGCCACCTTTATGTAGAGCAGCAATTCTTTTTTTCAGTTCCTCAGAGTTCTTTGCCATGAGGTGCGATGTTGAACTTCCAGTGACCAGTATGAGAGAGTGAGAGCAATAACACCAAATTTAACACACCTTCTCCCCATTCACGTTTGAGGCCTTGTAACACTAACGAGTCACATGACACCGGAGAGGGAAAATGGCTAATTGGGCCCAATTTGGACATTTTCACTTAGCGGTGTACTCACTTTTGTTGCCAGCAGTTTAGACATTAATGGCTGTGTGTTGAGTTATATTGAGGGGACAGCAAATTTACACTATTATACAAGCTGCACACTCACTACTTTACATTGTAGCAAAGTGTCATTTCTTCAGTGTTGCCATATGAAAAGATATAATAAAATGGTTACAAAAATGTGAGGGGTGGACTCACTTCTGTGAGATACTGTATATGTGTCTCAGTGCTCAAATAGTGGAAATTAGACATGTAGAATTTTTTTTTAAAGAAAAGTGTCATTTTCTGAATGTCTGATTATCTAAGAGTTAAATAGAGACAATGCGACAAAACAATTCAACCAGAGTGAGCAAAAAAAACAAAACAAAAAAAAAAATCAAAAGATAAAGAATGGAAATTTTTTGTTGAATCTGCTGGGATCTAATTTCTTTTTACTCCACAAAATTTCCATTAAATTTGCTCCCAACCAAGAAAATTCTTACTAGTCTTATGCTCATGCACTTGTCAGAGTTAATCCAGGTGTAAAACGTTTGTTCTATAAAAATTGAGACACTGACATGGCTCGCAAATGTTCAAAATCTAGTCCATTAAGAACACCATCCAAAAGGTCAGACAAGCGATTTTTATACTTCCTCATCCAAATGAAATTCTACAGGTTTAAGGCCAGCATAAGACTTCAGGAGGTGGTAATGGAGCGCTGAAAGTAGGTAATAAGTGATCTACGGTGTTTCAAATATGGCCACCTTAGAACAGAATATACACCAATGGACCACCAGCGTTGTGTGTTTTATTATATTATTTTAAATTGGGTTTTATGATTTACAAATGGAATGTTAAGGTGGTCACACCACCACTGCCTAATGTTAGCTTTGTTGCTACTAATTGAACAAATAGCATTTGGTAGATGTTGCACATTTAAGAAAGTCAAAGTAAAGCCTTTGTTGTCATTGATGCCTATTTTTGTACTTATGCAATTTTCTGTATAACGAAATGTATATCCCCATTGTCCCTTCTTTTCCCCCCTGTTGAAATTATTAAAATCTTTGAAGTATTTTATATAACTGGTAAAAAAAGAGAAACATGTTTTTGCTGCAGCAATCAAACATTCTTAAACCTCACCTATACATTGTTTAACCTTCCCTAGAAAAGCATGAGAAAAAAAAATAAGACTGGTTGCTACCAGCATTGCCTTGGCTTTCTATGTGCCCTTTATTCAAGGCTGAATAACCAGTATAAAAGTTAATCAATTTCTTGTGCACAAAACATGCAAAAGAACACAGAATTAGATCTAGTAAGCACAGCCAATGGTAAGAGAGATCTTTAGACAATAACCACACAAGTTTTTAAATTAAACCCATTTCCAGAACATAAACTCTAATTTGCGTCATGTACGTAAACCATTTCCAGAACTGAAGCTCTGAATCTGAGTCATACAATTAAAACAATCTGTTAACACTGACTTGATTTGCACAGCTATTCTGTAAAAACAAAAAAACAAACAAAATAAAAACACAACAAAAAAAAAAAAAACCTGTTAAGGTCTCATTCAGACAGGCAGTAAAAAAATGGGAGGCCTCTTTCATCAGGGTTGATTTTACTTCTAGAGATCTATACCATTACCCATTGCAGTCCCTTCCTAAGGCTCCTCACAGCGCCTCCACCACCTGACACTACCAGTGGCCGCTTTGCTACGGTCTTGTAGATTTCTGTGATCTCTACAGTTATAGCTGTAGAGCTCTGTGGACAGAAACTGTCTGATTACTAGTTCAAAACTGAAGGTTCCAGCCATTTTGGGGAAGTCTGCATCTCACTGAGATACAGTTCTTTCCCCAGAGCAGAGCTTGCAAATCATACTAGTGAGGCAGTGCGGGTCATATTGATGGAGATGCATTGCTTAGAACTGGGCAAAATTGGGAATATGACTTTTCATAGGCGTACACATGGTCAGTAATCAGTGGTTAGTATGAGAAAAAAAAGGGGCAGGGAGGACTCTGAACAAGGGGGAGAGGGTGTTAATTAACAGTCTCTCAATTTACAAAATAAATGAAAGAAGAAGGGTGCTCCCACCCTTGTAGGCCTTAAAAATGTTGGCCCTGAACACATTTTCCTACATGCCACATAACAGGAGATCCATCCCAGCTTTTCCTCAGAATTATGACAAGACTCTTTCATGACATTTAGCATTCCAGACACTGCTCAAACTAGTACATAATCTTCTCCCATATCATCTTCAGGTTTCACATGGCTGTACCTTATCCCTGTTTCAATCGTTCCCTCACATTTTTTTCTCACCAATTATAATTTTGGATTATTCTACGTCTAGCTAAAGCTATCCTAAGTGTAGAAGGGAACAAAATTAATAACAAGTAACATCTACATTGAAAGGACCTACTTAGTTTGTAGATATTGGGCATAACCTTTGCTCCTTCTTTCATATATGAAGCACGAAATCCATCAACTGAGAAAATGATCAAAGGTGGTCGAAGAAACCTAAGAAGATAATTGACAAAAGATAGATAAGAAAATGGATTCTTAATTGAAGACTCAACGCATATTGCTTTTTTTTATTTTTTTTTTTTTTTTTTTTTTGAGTTGCTCAAATTTCTTCATTGATTGCAAATTGAATAATGTCCAAAATGCTCAAGTTAAGTGTAATTATGTGCAGTGGGGAGCTGGTTGTACTGAAGTCAATGCATTGTTAGACTTCAGTACAACCAGCCTGTCGGAATTGTTTACATGCAATCACTGCCTGCAGCAGTGACTACGGTGTTCTGATAGCAATGATTACGGTGTTTCTAGCAGCTGGTAGAATAGTGCTGAGAGGCACTCCCCCCATCAGCACAGGTTGAGCACGTTTCTTTCCTTCCACCCGTGGTGGAAGGAAAGAAAATTGTATCATATACGGCCAGCCTTACATTAGAGTCTTTCACACCTAATTCCACCACTAAACTAGTAGCACTGCCAAGACAACAGGCCAACAGTATGGAGGTACACAGGACTGAGTAGGCCTTAAACATGGCCACCTTCCACTTTCATAGTAGTATGTTTTTGTCTACAGCTCTAAACACTTGACATGAGAACTTGAGGGATATTTTTGTGTGTCCTAGAGTAACCAACCAGATCTCAGCTTCTATTTCTTTAAGTGCAGTCAGAAAACAATCTAAGCTGGGCAACGCAAACAAAACGTCCATGCTAGCTATGATTTTGGTAGCAGATGCTACACCACCAACTACTAAATCTATCAACTACCAGTCAATCACAGTGACCCTGTGCAGAATCACCTTACCACTCACACACAAGTTACACAGTGCATCGAATAGAACACCCATGTCATAACACTTATTAGAAGTCTAGATAGTTATCTTCCTTGCACAATAAAGCTGTACAAACCTATATTCTGTACCCTGTTGGCGAGATTTCACATTACCTCCTGTTCTAAAGGCACAACCAAAAGTGAGTGAAAATGCCTTCAAAATGAAGGAAAATCCCCTCTTAGACTATTGTCACCGGGACAGTACCCACCTTACAAAACTGGATTTGTCCTTGCCTTCTGTTCTGGTGGCAGACTCTGAAATGTCTGATTTCTCTGCATATTCTGTATTGCGGACAATGGTCACCCAGACAAAGAGGGTAAAAGTGCATCTAATATACCAAAAACTTTTTTTTCTGAGTTTTGGATAGAGTGGGGAAAGGTTAGAACCCCTATCATATTTTACTGATATCTGGGAATCGGTTTGAGAAATTTCCTCTTACTTCCTGTTCTGTATACACTATGCATAATGTAGCTCTGTGTATGGTCTTAGCAAGCCTTGGTGCTGGGGTGAATTAACTTTCGCGCGTAAGTGTAGTCATATGGCCAATCTAGATGGCTGAAGACAACAAACCTAGAAGACTGGGCCAAGATGGAAGCACCAAAGGATTCCTCATCACTGGAGAGTAGGCAAGTATAGTGGAGTCTGGATTAGTTATACAGGGGTTTTTGAAAGCGCTGGTTGTAGGAGTTGATACTGGAGTTGGGTTGTGCTGTAAGATCAACCCCCATAAACACAGGGGTTGAAAAAAACGATTGTGGAAAGTGGGAGTTCATCAATCTAGAACCCATACTAAAAAGCCAACAAACATCTAGCTAGCTTAGTGCAACAGGAGAAGTCTGAAAATAGTAAGGCGAAAGCAGGGGCGGACTGACCATTTGGAAATGCGGGCACTGCCCGAGGGCCCGGGGTCAGTAGGGGGCCCCATGAGATGCCCCTGGTACCTTTTTCATAGGCTTTTTTGAGTTTGGGCAAGGACACAGGGGCTCCATGATCCCTTATTGCCCGGGGGCCCCATGAGTTGTCAGTCCACCCCAGGGTGAAAGGATTCCCGTCAACCTGGCCAGTCTCATCTACAAATACATATAGGCATGTATTCATTCATCAGCATTTATAATATACTGTAGAAATGTGATGGTTTCTAGCATAAAATGAACACATTGTTAAAATGTATTAGAAGTAAAAATGAAAACTTTTTTTTTACCCTGCTGGACAGTCTGGTTGCTTCATTTCTTCACATTCATCATCCGCCCAACGAGTTCCACCTAGGAGCGCAAAGAAACATTTTCAATTTCAAGGTATTACAGAAATATATACACAGTGAATATTTTTATGGAGCATGATGAAATGATTTAATTAACTGCAGAGCAATAGGTCATTGACACACATCTCTTAACTATTATATTATGTGGCCCCTGGTTTTCATATTTTGGCTGAAGTGGCTATAATTTGCTTCTAAAACCACTACCCCTCGCTGTACTCCACAGCCATCTGTGAGCCATTTCAGACACCGGAAGGCTCATTTAGTGATATTGCTGCAGCAAAACTGAAAAAAAGCTACTTTCAAAAGATTGCATTGTTTAATCAGCAATTAATCAAAATTATGTATTTGATACTAGAACACCACTCATATATGTAGTTTCTCTCGAAATGACAGTCAATTCAAACATGGATCCAAGGCGCTAAAGTGTTACTAAACCCAGGACCCTGCATTCACTATATCTGGTCTCCCACAGTACACACAACATGAAAATGCAATTATTTTAGTAAATATAAACTGCTAAATACCTTTTCTCATCAGCAGTATATGGCAGTCTTGTGATTTCTATCAGTGTTCAGCAGAGCACTGGCTACAGCTTGTAGGAGGAGTTTGCTTTCTGCTCTAGGAGTATGCAGAACCCCTGATTTCGGTCTGGACAGTGCCGATTGGCCCTGTGCTGATCACATGCACTCTCCCAAGAAAAAAAAACCCTCTAGCAATACACACCAAACTGAGCATGTGCAGAGTGACTCCACATCATATGCCTTATCAGTAGATAAGAGGGGGGCACTGGAAGAATGGAAGGATCAGAGAAGACAGGATCAAACAGTGTTTTTACACAATGCAGAGAATTAACCCCTTAGGTTCCCCTGTGAGTATAACAAGCATGATTTACTGCATATACAGACTGATTTTACGGTTGTGGATTTGGTAACATTTTTACAAGTCATCCACATGGGTACAATATTTAAAGTTCTACTAAATCCATAACAGTAAAATCAGCGTGTATATGCAGTAAAGCATGCTTGTTCTATTCACTGGGGAACCTAAGGGGTTAATCCTCTGTATTGTGAAAAAAGGCCATTTTGATCCTTTCTCCTATGTTACTCCCCTTTTTCAAGAAACCACCTCTTATCTCCTGATAAGACCAACTGAAGCATAGGCATTTTGCACATGCTCAGTTTGGTGTGTATAGCTAGAGGGTTTTTTTTTTTTCTTGGGAGAGTGCATGTGATCAGCACAGGGCCAATCAGCAGTCAGGGGTTTTGCATCCTCCTAGAGCAGAAAAAAAAAAAACTTCTCCTACAAGCTTTAGCTAGCGCTGGTCTGGAGACTGATAGAATTCACAGTATTGCTATATGCTGCTGATGAGAAAATATATTTAGCAGTTTATATTTACTAAAATAATTGCATTTCCATGTTCTGTGTATTGTGGGATACCAGATATAGTGGATGCAGGGTCCGGGGTTTAGCAACACTTTAATTTTTGCTAGAGGATTTTTTTCTGCCCTTTTTTTTTTTTTAATAAAAAAAAAAGGTGCCATCCATGTTAAAACTTAGTCAATAAACATTATGTCATTTGCAGAGAGGTCTAAGATTGCTGGCAGATCACAGAAGCAACAACAGGGTCCAGAATTTGTCGCGGAAGCCATTGAGCAGTGTTGCCATCAGCTCCAAAGGCAATTGGATATATACAGGTTGTACGGCAGAAATCGTGGGGGGTGGGGGCATGGAGGGGAACTCAAATTTAAACTGGAACCTGGGATTACAGTTTAAAATGTTTGTAAATCCTTACATATACCCAGTAACATGACTGGCCTCAGGTGATACACAGAGAAGAAAAAAAAAAAAAATCATCCGACAAATGTTGTACTGGTTTATCTACAGCCTCCTGTCCCTACATCCATTCAAAATGCAGAATTTACACAGAATCTCTCAGCTCTAAAAAGCAGGGAGTTTAAGTTACATCAGTGAACAGAGCTCTGAGAGCCGATTGGAGAGAATGGGCATATCCCATCCAACACAAGGAACAGAGCTGTGGCTGTCAATCACAGGCTGTGCCCTCCACGGTCACGTTTTTTTTTTCTCCTGGTGTCATTAAAACTCAGCACCAGATAATAATTACACTTTGTGATCTGGATTGAGACAAGCACGCACTATAGAGGAATATGCTTTGTTCATATTTCATGTCTGAGGTTTACAACCACTTTAAAGAAGAGTCTCTGCTACTGACGTATCCCAAGAAAAATGCAATAACAGAAAATCAAACCTAGCACAAGAAAGTGAACTGCATGTCATCACATAGAAATAACCTAGTTGAAACGGTGAAAATTAAACTTGTCAAATCCCAAGCAAAAAAAAAAAAAATATCTTATCTTTTTGTATATCTCCAGAAGACAAAGTGAGTCGTGGTGACAGCTACTAACCTTTGCATGATATTTGATAGTCCGTACAGCAGTCTCCTTTAGTCAGACAATCCTCAGAGCACTGGCACGCACTGTCCTCATTCCGGGCCTCCCCACACCTCTCCTTGCAGCTCCAACCTCGGCCTGAAATAAATGGAGAAAAATAGTACAGGGCTTAACCAGGATGAACAAAGAAAAAAAGTCAAAGAGGCTCTTGTATTTGGATCACCCTGAAAAAATACAGTACATAAAACTCCCATTTCAACTTGAAGGGTTATCCTGAGCACTGGAAAATCCTGCAATCTGTGTACAGCCCTGGTACCCAAAATGAGGCCCAGAGCACACATGTAGCCCTTTACTACATATTGTGTGGCCCTTGGGAACACTACATAGTCCGTGGTTTTTTTTCCTCCATCAAGATGCTGGATTTGGATTGGCTTCTAGTAGTCTAACTTTGTCATCTATCCATTTTTCTCTTTTTATTTATTTTTTTACACCTTTTATCTTAAAATATGATTATTGGTAAGAAAATGATCAAATGTGGAAAATACAAACAAACATTCTTTTTAAGGGGCCTGTATGGATCACAAATACGGAAGCAGATATTTGTAGAAGTCTCATGTAACATTTCTCCAGTCTATGGCCAGCTCCTGAAGAATGGCCTCAGTCTCAAACAGCTCCCATAACATGTTTACAGCCTTTGACATCTTCTGTTGCATGCCTGCAGTCTTGACCATTTTTTCTAGCGTGTCCATAGTTTTCCCCATCTTCTGCAGCATGTCTGCCATCTGACAGCTTTCTGTAGCATTAAATTCAATGATTATGTCGAACCATCTGGTGACTTCAGGGGACCCACTTGAAGCCTCCTAATTTAAGTAAAGCTGGCCATATGTGGTTAGATATTCATTCTAAGGTTCGTATGGAAAGTCTGAAAAATCATTCTTGAGAGCATTGAGTAAACTAATTTACTTTGAAAGCTCATTCAATTTCATTCAGACTTGCTATTTGAATGTAATCCCAGACATTAAAACAGGTTTCATTACAATATGTATGATTTTCACTCTATTGAAAACCACATTCATAGTCAAGTCGGCAATACATGGATTGAAATTTGGCCGGTTCAGCAGGGCCCAACCGAATTTCAATCCATGTATGGGGAAGGTTTGTTGTACACAAGCCAATCAATCAACATGTGTATAACCAGCCTATTGGAAAATTTCCTTTCGATCAGCACCGTTGGCTATAGCCAGCAGTGCTGATAAGTGTATTCTCCCAGCAGGGAAATCTCCCCACTGCCCAAATACAAAAGGTTTAGAGTGAAGGATTCACCATTCACATCCAAGTGTATGGATAAGCGAATTGAGTCAATCTTTTGTTCAACCAGCATGCTGAATGAAAAAAATATGGCTTGTGTACGACCACCCTTCAAATTTCATCAATTTAAGAAAGCTTTTCCTTCCTACTGCTTCGAATGTTCTCATCACTAGGGTCAAAAATTACCATCAAATTAACCCTACTAACCATCAGAAAATCAAATGTTCCAAAAACAAACATTTTTAAATGAAATTCTACAGCTGTACTTCCAGCTTAAGCTGCCCACTGCAATGATCAGAGAGTGTTGCAAGCTCATTCCCTTTCTAATGAGCAATTTGGTAGCAAATGCTAAGCTCCAAGGCTACTAATGTGCCAAGAAAGCATCACAGATAGGAATAGGCATCTTCTTGGTAGTCTTGCTCAGACCAGGTAGGCTTGCTTAGACAAGGATTGCACAATACAAGAGGTGCCTTGTTTAGCCTCCACATAAATACAAATACACGCATCCAAGACCTCTAGGTATAAATTAGAGACGGAGAAGACAAGTGCTGTCTGCCAATTGGAAGGGCGAGCATGCAGGACTATTTATATCTTTATTTATTTTACATTGGGGGATTTTTGTTTGGCTGTTTTTCACTTTGTAAATGCTTATCCCACTTTCCACTGACTGTGTTGAATTTCAATGTATCAATTAAACAACAGCCCATATTTTTTCAGTTACACTGCACTAGTAAGACCTCATCTGGAATATGCAGTTCAGTTTTGGGCACCAATTCACAAAAAGAACATTGGGGAACTGGAGAGAAAGTACAGAGAAGGGCAACCAAACTGATAAGAGGCATGGAGGAGCTCAGCTATGAGGAAAGATTAGGGGAACTGAATTTATTCTCTCTTGAGAAGAGGAGATTAAGGGGGATATGATCTCTATGTATAAATACATCAGTGGTTCATATAGTGAACTCGGTGTAGAGTTATTTACCCTGAGGTCATCACAGAGGACAAAGGGGGCACTCTTTACATCTGGAGGAAAAGAAATTTAATCTCCAAATACAGGAAGGTTTCTTCACAGTGAGTGCTGTGAAAATGTGGAATAGACTCCCTCAAGAGTTGGTTCTGGCCAGCTCAGTGGATTGCTCTAAAAAAAGGCCTGGATTGTTTCCTGGATACACAGAATATAACTGGATACTAACATTTATAGGTAAAGTTGATCCAGGGAATACCCAATTGCCTCTCGGGGGGATCAGGAAGGAATTTTTTTCCCTGCAGGAGCAAATTGGATCATGCTTTGCTGGGGTTTTTTTGCCTTCCGCTGGATAAACTGTGCGTATAGGATTATAACTTTTTTTTTTTTAAATGGTTGAACTGGATGGACTTTTGTCTTTTTTCAACCAGACTAACTATGTAACTATGCACTGGAGGTAAGGCCACCTACCCCTGGTGCACATCTCTTGGACATTGAATCTCTCTCTTCTATGCAAGTCTACAATGGAGTTTCACACTGAAAGATCTGTATCTATCTGCATTTTCCCCTTAATACTAGCAAACTTCATCAATACTGTCACCCAGCAAGGCAGAAAGATAGACTTCTTATAAGGCTCCATGCACGCAGACTTTAAAAAAATGCCAACGCTCTCAACAGAAAAAAACCCTGCTAACTTTGAGCATTTTTTTGTACTAGCATTTAGGAGCACTTGGCTTTTTTTCTGCCAGAAAAAAAACTCTCAAAAACGCAAAACAGCATGTTCAATCAATACCTGCAAAAAAAAAAAAAAAAGCCCTATTCCAATCGGAAAAGGAGGAGCCTGACCATGGCGTGGAGCGAGAGCTCGATGTGAGGGCTCTCTGCTCTCCAGTACCTATATGTGACCTGCCTAAAGAGGAAATACCTAAGGAATGCAAGACTCACCGGTGAGAGAGGTGGTCTCTTTGGAGGAGTGCGGGTCTCATGGGACTTGTGGAGCGTGGAGAAGGAGATCGTTGGGACGAGTTCGACTGCAGAAGCTGGGTGGACGCCGGATACCCCCCTCTCTCACAAGGGACCATGGCTGCCAGGAATCCACCGAGACGAGTTGGAAGAAACCCCCCCTGCAATTTGCCTATTATGGGAAGGGACTATTGAATCCCCCAGAAGAGAGCACTCGAGGCCGCCTCACCCAGAAGAAAACGGAGAATGCGACAGGAGGGTGAGAGCGGCAGGTTGTTGTGATGGATGAAATGTGGGGGGAATAGAACTGTGTTGTAAAATCGAAGGATGGTTCACCCAGGGGGTCTAAAGGAAGAGAGAGGAAGGAGAAGGAAAAGAGAAGGAACAAAAAAGGAAAAGGAATGGAAGAAGAACAACTTAAAACAACTAAAGACCCAGAAGAAGTGGACCCTGGTGGAGGAGTAAAGGAGAAGGGGGAGAGGAAAAGAAGAAAGTGGAGATTAATTTCTCTGGAAGATTATAATTTTGATATTAAAATTTAATAAAGAAATCTCCCAGATCCTGGAAAAAACTGAAAAAGTTACTGACAGTATGAAAAATAGTGTCTAAAAGGAGGCGGGCCTAAGGCTTCCCAAACAGGTTCAATTAAAAAATATATACCCTCACAGGAGAAACAGACCCCAGAAAGACAACAGGGAATATCTGAAAGGAGTGACATGGAAATCAGTGTAGGAGAAAGTTCCAGACTATTCCTAGGAATAACCGATAGTAGTCAACAAATTGAAGAAGAAGTGGGGATGGAAAATGTAGAAGAACAAGAGAAGAGTTTACAGATGCCCACTAAAACAGAAATAGCAGAAATGTTCAAAAGGACTTGAGAAATCCATAAAACAGGAATTGACAAAAATACACAAAGATTTGGGGCAAATATTCTTAAGAGTGGAGGAGACGGAAGAAAAATTGGATAAACATGCTCAAATTATTCAGAAGTTAGAAAAACGGACGATAGAAATAAGAAAAGAACAAAGAAATCTGCTACTGTATATAAAAAAATAGAAGATCAGGAGAATAGGGATAGGAGATGCAACTTAAGGATACGAGGTCTTCCAGAGATCTCTCAAGCAGAAGACCTAATGGAAAAAATAAGGAAAATACTGAATACTATAATGGATAGAACCACATCAGAGACTCTTAAAATGGATGGAGTATATAGAATAGGAAGACACGAACAAGAAAGTAGAAAAGAAAATCAGAGAGATGTAATTGTGCAATTTCATAATTATCAAGATAAAGATGAAATCTGGAAGAAGATAAAGGAAGAACAGTGATAAAATATGGAGAAATAAATATTCAGATTTTTGCTGATTTAGCAGCAGAAACATTGATAAGCAGGAGAACTCTGAAACCATTATTAGAGCAGATGAGAAAGCAGAATGTTCGATACAGCTGGGGGTTCCCGGGTGTCTAATTGAATGGAAAAATGGTCATTCAGCAAGATTGAGATATCCTGAATACTTGAGTGACGTTTGTGAGAGACTTGATTTACAGAAAATAAACATTCCTGGTTGGGGAGAAGAAGGGGATATATGGGCTATAGAAAAAGAAGGAATAGAGTAAACATCTACTGCCCTAATAAAAACCCGAGCTATACTTTAAAAAACATCTTAAGGAAGTTATTAGATTTTAAGAAAGGGAAATTAATTGTGGCAGGAGATTAATTTTTAAGGATCCTCAAATGGATACAACGTCCCATGTGCAAAGAGAAGGTAGTAGGTATTTGAAATCTTTGGGGAAAATGCTACATCAATGTCAACTTGTAGATAGCTGGAGAATTAAAAAACTGAAAGAAAAAGATTATACGTTTCTACTCTCATGCAAATGAGACGTATTCAAGATTGGACTATAT